GAAAGGTTCGAACTCGGGATCCTATTATCGGAAAGCATGCGCTCTACCAATCTTGAAAAGCCACATGCACATGAATGTGCATATAGCGCGAATTCCTGTATATACTTGTACAGGAAGTCGGACAGAATGACCCCCTTGATCGACGTTCATGATCACAAATAAAATACTAATCATGTCCCCATAGCCCTGTCTAATAGTGGTTACTACAGTGTCCTCTTGTTTCGGAGTTGCAAAGTACTTAAATAACGTAGGCATTGTATTATTACTAAAGCCAATATTAGTTAACTATAATAACTATAATAAGTTATAATTAAAAGTTATATTTCTAGTTATATAGCGCCAATTTTGAATGATGAGCGCTTTACAATGATATTATTAACCCGGTCATAGGAAACAATGCAAGCCAGCGCACATTGTGTGCACCATCTCAACTCCCTGGGGAGCAATCCTCCTAAGCGGCTCATGGGCATTGAGAAGATCTTGTACATGAGGGGTCTTACCTCCTACAGGGTATTCATTTATACACCCGAGTATAAAGCCTCTATAATTGTGGATAAATTGCTTTGATGAAGGTCAAAAAGGCAGTGGGAAAGGTTCGAACTCGGGATCCTATTATCGGAAAGCATGCGCTCTACCAATCTTGAAAAGCCACATGCACATGAATGTGCATATAGCGCGAATTCCTGTATATACTTGTACAGGACGGTCGGACAGATGACCCCCTTGATCGACGTTCATGATCACAAATAAAATACTAATCATATATATACAAATAATGTCCCCATAGCCCTGTCTAATCGTGGTTACTACAGTGTCCTCTTGTTTCGGAGTTGCAAAGTGCTTAAATAACGTAGGCATTGTAATAATTACTAAAGCCAATATCAGTTAACTATAATAACTATAATAAGTTATGATTAAAAGTTATCTTTCGAGTTATATAGCGCCAATTTTGGATGATTAGCGCTTAACAATGATATTATTAGCCCGGTCATAGGAAACAATGCAAGCCAGCGCACATTGTGTGCACCATCTCAACTCCCTGGGGAGCAATCCTCCTAAGCGGCTCATGGGCATTGAGAAGATCTTGTACATGAGGGGTCTTACCTTCTACAGGGTATTCATTTATACACCCGAGTATAAAGCATCAATAATTGTGGATAAATTGCCTTGATGAAGGTCAAAAAGGCAGTGGGAAAGGTTCGAACTCGGGATCCTATTATCGGAAAGCATGCGCTCTACCAATCTTGAAAAGCCACATGCACAATCATGAATGTGCATATAGCGCGAATTCCTGTATATATACTTGTACAGGAAGTCGGACAGATGACTCCCTTGATCGACGTTCATGATCACAAATAAAATACTAATCATATATATACAAATAATGTCCCCATAGCCCTGTCTTATCGTGGTTACTACAGTGTCCTCTTGTTTCGGAGTTGCAAAGTGCTTAAATAACGTAGGCATTGTAATAATTACTAAAGCCAATATCAGTTAACTATAATAACTATAATAAGTTATGATTAAAAGTTATATTTCGAGTTATATAGCGCCAATTTTGGATGATTAGCGCTTTACAATGATATTATTAACCCGGTCATAGGAAACAATGCAAGCCAGCGCACATTGTGTGCACCATCTCAACTCCCTGGGGAGCAATCCTCCTAAGCGGCTCATGGGCATTGAGAAGATCTTGTACATGAGGGGTCTTACCTTCTACAGGGTATTCATTTATACACCCGAGTATAAAGCATCAATAATTGTGGATAAATTGCCTTGATGAAGGTCAAAAAGGCAGTGGGAAAGGTTCGAACTCGGGATCCTATTATCGGAAAGCATGCGCTCTACCAATCTTGAAAAGCCACATGCACAATCATGAATGTGCATATAGCGCGAATTCCTGTATATATACTTGTACAGGAAGTCGGACAGATGACTCCCTTGATCGACGTTCATGATCACAAATAAAATACTAATCATATATATACAAATAATGTCCCCATAGCCCTGTCTTATCGTGGTTACTACAGTGTCCTCTTGTTTCGGAGTTGCAAAGTGCTTAAATAACGTAGGCATTGTAATAATTACTAAAGCCAATATCAGTTAACTATAATAACTATAATAAGTTATGATTAATAGTTATATTTCGAGTTATATAGCGCCAATTTTGGATGATTAGCGCTTTACAATGATATTATTAGCCCGGTCATAGGAAACAATGCAAGCCAGCGCACATTGTGTGCACCATCTCAACTCCCTGGGGAGCAATCCTCCTAAGCGGCTCATGGGCATTGAGAAGATCTTGTACATGAGGGGTCTTACCTCCTACAGGGTATTCATTTAATATACACCCGAGTATAAAGCATCAATAATTGTGGATAAATTGCTTTGATGAAGGTCAAAAAGGCAGTGGGAAAGGTTCGAACTCGGGATCCTATTATCGGAAAGCATGCGCTCTACCAATCTTGAAAAGCCACATGCACATGAATGTGCATATAGCGCGAATTCCTGTATAATTTGTACAGGAAGTCGGACAGAATATCCCCCTTGATCGACGTTCATGATCACAAATAAAATACTAATCATGTCCCCATAGCCCTGTCTAATAGTGGTTACTACAGTGTCCTCTTGTTTCGGAGTTGCAAAGTACTTAAATAACGTAGGCATTGTATTATTACTAAAGCCAATATTAGTTAACTATAATAACTATAATAAGTTATAATTAAAAGTTATATTTCTAGTTATATAGCGCCAATTTTGAATGATGAGCGCTTTACAATGATAATTATTAACCCGGTCATAGGAAACAATGCAAGCCAGCGCACATTGTGTGCACCATCTCAACTCCCTGGGGAGCAATCCTCCTAAGCGGCTCATGGGCATTGAGAAGATCTTGTACATGAGGGGTCTTACCTCCTACAGGGTATTCATTTATCGCCCGAGTATAAAGCATCAATACTTGTGGATAAATTGCTTTGATGAAGGTCAAAAAGGCAGTGGGAAAGGTTCGAACTCGGGATCCTATTATCAGAAAGCATGCGCTCTACCAATCTTGACAAGCCACATGCACATGAATGTGCATATAGCGCGAATTCCTGTATATACTTGTACAGGAAGTCGGACAGGTGACCCCCTTGATCGACGTTCATGATCACAAATAAAATACTATTCATATATATAATGTCCCCATAGCCCTGTCTAATCGTGGTTACTACAGTGTCCTCTTGTTTCGGAGTTGCAAAGTGCTTAAATAACGTAGGCATTGTAATAATTACTAAAGCCAATATCAGTTAACTATAATAACTACAATAAGTTATGATTAATAGTTATATTTCGAGTTATATAGCGCCAATTTTGGATGATTAGCGCTTTACAATGATATTATTAGCCCGGTCATAGGAAACAATGCAAGCCAGCGCACATTGTGTGCACCATCTCAACTCCCTGGGGAGCAATCCTCCTAAGCGGCTCATGGGCATTGAGAAGATCTTGTACATGAGGGGTCTTACCTTCTACAGTGTATTCATTTATACACCCGAGTATAAAGCATCAATAATAATAAATTGCTTTGATGAAGGTCAAAAAGGCAGTGGGAAGGGTTGGAACTCGGGATCCTATTATCAGAAAGCATGCGCTTTACCAATCTTGACAAGCCACATGCACATGAATGTGCATATAGCGCAAAATCCTGAATATACTAGTACAGGAAGTCGGTCAGATGACCCCCTTGATCGACGTTCATGGTCACAAATGAAATAGTAATCATATATATACAAATATTGTCCCCATAGCCCTGTCTAATACTGGTTACAACAGTGCCCTCTTGTTTCGGAGTTGCATAGTGCTAAAATAACCTAGGCATTGTAATAATAACTAAAACCAATATTTGTTAACTATAATAAGTTATGATTAAAAGTTATGTTTCGATTTATATAGCGCCTAATATGGATGATACGTGCTTTACAATGATATTATTAGCCCGGTCATAGAAAACAACGCAAACCAGCACACATTGTGTGCACCATCTCAACTCCCTGGGGAGCAATCCTTCCAAGCGGCTCATGGGCATTGAGAAGATCGTTCACATAAAGGCTTTCACCTTCTACCGGTTCCCCATTAATTTATACACCTGAGAGCAGCAATAATTATTGTAGCCTATCTGATATGCGTCGAGCTCTATGGCAAGTGCACTAATCGCGTTTAAGGAGACTGACATCGGCTGACGCTCGCGCCGATGTCAGTCTCCATAAACGCGATTAGCCACTATATGCCCTTTCAGCTAGAAACCCCCAATATCTCATATTTTCAGACATATTTATACATAGTTTTAATTTAATGCTCAATACGTATACGCATGATAATGTTGAATATATATAACAAGTTCCAATTGGTTTCACGAGGTTACGTCTCTAGCTAGTCTAGCCTAGCTGGAAAATGTGGGTCTTTGGGGGCGTCTGGCGGCTACACCCCACCACTTAAAAAGTTTGGCACAGTCATTCGTTTGCCCTTCAGATATAAATAACAAGTTCCAATTCGTTTCACAAAGTTACCTTTTCAGCTAGCCTAGCTGGGAAAGGTCGGATCAACATCAACTTCATCCTCATCACGGTCACCATCTTCATCATGAACGGGAGGTCGTGGGTTCGATCCCCGGCCGAGTCATACCAAAGACTTATAACAATGGGACCTTCTGCCTTCTAGCTAGGCGCTCAGCATATTAGATTGGAGAAGGGTAATAGTAACATGTTATGTTATGCAGGGCCCGCTGGGAGAGCAGTTTTATAACTGAAGTGGCTACCCTGGGTAAATAAAACGTTATTATTATTATTATTATCATCCTCACCATCACCATCATATTCTTCCTCATCACCACCACCATCTTCATCCTCATCATCATTGCATCACGGTCACCATCATCATTATCATCACCATCATAATCATCCTTCATATTTCATCATGCTGACATGTTAGTCATAATAAACCAAAGTAGAGAATATGAATGTGCTGAATTTAATATAAAAAGGTTTATTTTGTATGTTTACATGAACTAAAGTTTGATTTTCAAATACACGCATCAATGTTTATCTGGTTAGTTTACGAGTATGTAAGTACTAATAAGCCTATGATATTAACTCCATCCATGATAAAATGCCTTACTATGAGTTCTAGTGTTGGCGGAGGCATAACAACTGTGAACAAGAACGTTGTATGTTTAGCTAGATCATTGCAAAAAGCTGGACATTAAACATAATGATTGCTGAATATGTAAAGTTAGTCTTGCCCTATGTTGTATGAGTTTGTACTTTGTTGGTATTATATATTGACAAATGTATATCGAAAACACTGAAATATGGTTCACTAATTACAATTACCCGGTAAAGATTAAACTATGTGTTTGTACTACATTTTTATTCTGACATATTGAACATATATATATATATATACAAACATTTTCAAGGAGTGATCAATTCAATTCAATACACATGCAGTACCAGGGTTGCCAACTTTGAGCCAAGAATGAGGCCTGAGGGAGCGAAGCAACATAGGGCTGGGGCAGAGCCAGATTGGGGGGGGGGGGGGAGGGGGAGGGTTTGGGAGGGGGTTATCTCCCTCCCACGGTAAGGAAGATTTTGCATATATACTTGACATGGTGCAATTTGGTGCACGACATGCCATACATGTGTCAAACGTGAAACAGGAGTTTTCAACAGGAACTGTTTTTATCTCCACAGGTCAATCACCAAATGAACTGCACACAGATTGTGATAGAACAATGGTGCAAGCAAATACTAAACAAAATAACTAGGACTCATAAAACTTATAGCTAATATGTAATTTTCATTGTCAATTTTCGAGAACTTGTTCGTGTCAAACCTGAAAGAAATGTTGTCCATACAATATCTTTATGTCAAAACTCCAACATTGTAGTAACATTATGCTAAATCAAATTAAACACATTTAATGGCTGCTGTGTATTTTGAGGAAGGGATGATATCTACACACACGTTTTTCATTTGTAGAATCCAAATAACAGGTGTTCGACCTGACATTTTATTTGAATATTGAATTCGTCCCCATCCATCTACGAGAAAATATTCAGACGATTTAAATGGTGGACATTCCCTTGAGAGGGGTAGTACAATTTTGGTAGAGCTAAGCTTTAGTTACCATAAAACAACAACACTACAATCTAATAGTTATTATTTCACCATGCTTGAAGGTTATAGAAAATTACGAAGACTATGGAAGAAAAAAAACCTGTCATCATTCAAAAAGAGCCATTGAAACACAAGAAGGCGCTCTAAAAAAAACATTGGTTTGAACCATTTTTCATACAAAGTTATGCTCGTGATGTTGTGTTGAAATAATGATGATATAAAGAAATCATCAACAACTATTTAAAAACCTCTTTTGAAAATGTTTGAAAAGTGTAAGCATTTTATTAATTTTTAGAAAAATCATCTTATAAATTTGGGGCCCAAATTTATTCAGACTGGAAATATTTTACATTTTACACTTGGTTTTCATTATCTCACAAACAAATTATTTTGTGTAGCACCCTCTTTACCAAAACTGAACTACCTCTTTAAGCGATAGGAATTTAAACAAAAAGTGACAATGCTTTCCATTTACTGAAACTTATGGAAAACATACATTTCAATAACATTCAATTTGGCCTTGATCATGTTGGTAATGGCTGTCTGTTAGGATCATTCACACCCCTGCTGTATGTACATGAATTATGTGGTGCTAGTGGCGACTAATCAAACGAAAGTCCACTCTACTGCTTTCCGCTTGAGGGAAACATCATTACTGGTTGTGCCATAGCAGGTTCTTTCATGGTTTCGAATAGATGGAATCCATTTGCATACCCACTTCAGTATTGATGTCCTTTCTCTGATGCATTGGGGTGATAAACTGTGTGGTAGACCCTATATCCATCGATACCTATATATAATTATAGGACAAAAGAAAGAAAATGGGCATATCAGTGGCAATTATCAATGCATAAAGATAATAAAAATGGTTGGGACTAATATTCCAATTTGTCTTTTAGACGAAAAGGATTGACCCTGATAAGCACTCTATCAACAACAAAAACATATATGCAAACTGGGAAAGGTAAGGCCGATATTAATTTAATCCTAAGAATCGTAAGGGGTTGAGGAGCAAGAGATCATCTTCAGTTGAAAATGATGACTCCGCTATCAAGCCAAAATTAACATGCACTAAATTAATCTGTAAACTCGACTTTGATGGTAATTCATCAACCAGATCCTGAGAAATCACAATTTCAAGCTATTTTAGAATGATTCCTGTGACCTTGACCTTTGACCTCATAACCCCAAGATTGTACCACTACATTGGCTTCATAAAATTCAGGTACCAGGTGTGATTAAAATCTGACATTCATTTCTTGAGTTTTTACAATTAAAGGCCATTTCGCATCTATAAATTCTGTGACCTTGAACTTTTACCTCATGACCCCAAAATGGTACGGCTACATAAGTCCTCTAAGATACATTCAGGTACCAAGTTTGATTGAAATCTGATATTTAGTTCTTGAGATTTTGCCATTATAAACAGTTTTAGCATGTATTTATAATATACCGGCAGTCATATGACCTTGATCTTTTAGACTCGTGTCCCCAAAAACTGACCAAATATTTTCCCCTTAAGAGACATACAGGTACAAAACTTGATGCTATTTTGTCTAAATAATGTGATCACAGTAAAACAATATGTTTGTAAATATATATAAGCCCTGTGACATTTTATCTAAAGGCCTCCAAAATCCAAAAGATACACATATTACTGGTAATATGTGTCAACTGGTTCTTATGATATTGTACACCTTAGCAGTTATCATAAAGCCTTGTGACCTTTTATTCCATGATCCGAATATCAATCATATCATTGTCACCCACAATGTGGAAACATACCAAGTTACAAATTGATCCATCAACAGGTGCTCTAAGATATCACAAGACTCTTCATGGGACAAAATCTCTCAAGGGTCCCGACACATGTGTTGAGATATATCTGGCAAAATCTTACCCAGCATTAAAGGATGTTTCACAGCCTCTTCACATTGACATGCATCCTGATGCTAAGCTGGTCTAAGTGCTGGTCTAGTATGTGGTTGTTCAAACTGCCTCTCGATCAAATGCTGCACAGGTATGGTACTGTAGTAAACAAATACATATAAGAAGACAATAATACAAAAATAACAAAACATACACAAAATGGCGTTCTGCATTTATGCATTGCTATCATAAACATATATTTCCTCTAAGCTATCAAGAAGTATAGGTGAGTTGTATAAAATTAAAAAACTTTTTACATCTCAAGATATTGTTTTATATTTATAACACGATTATATTAACACATTTAAATTATTGCAATGAAATATGGGGAAATACATACAAAGCTCATAAAAAATGATTCTTGCTCCAGAAACGTGCCATACGTATAATATCAAACAGTAAATTTGATACCCACTCACTTCCCCTTTTTGTAAAGTTAAAAACTCTTTCCTTGTTTCATCTGGTAAAACTAAATATATTAATTGTTATGTTTAAATTTCATAGGGGTATCCTCCCTGAAGTATTTGATAATATGTTTAAGACTAATATTTTTTTCATACATATCCCACAAATCAATCTGTCATCAACTCATCGTCAGCTCAATCGGTAAGGACAGCGTGTTACTAATAGGACCTTGGATTTGACGTGAGGGTTCGAATCTCAGTTTATTCAGTTTTTTGCCTTTATAAATAGTGGGGCAAAGCATTAAATAATCGAAGTCCAATTTTTACTTATGACCTCTTTTTATGTATGAAAATGAGTTCATACTGGAATCAGGGCTCGCTAGGGTACGAAAAAATAAGACCCGGCCTGAAACGACCTAGCCGATTGGCCTTCCTAACATCACAATTAAAGAATATGCTGAAAATGATGACATTCTGGGAGAAACAAATCACTGTGTATGGCACCAAGTGATGTGAGGATGATAAGATGCATTTCAGTGTTTTCACAAAATCAAGGAGGGGTACAATTTTTGAAAATCTTACCCTGCATTTGGAGAGGTTTCACAGCCTCTTCACATTGGCATGCATCTTGATGCTAAGCTGGTCTAAGTGCTGGTCTAGTATGTGGTTGTTCAAACAGCCTCTCGATCAAATGCTGCACAGGTTTGTTACTGTAGTAAAGAAATAAGAAGACATTTATACATAATAACACAAAAATATATACACAAAATGGCATTCTGCATTCATTGCTATCATAATATGAGCACTGGTTTCTCTTACAGCACGGAAAGATCAAGAAGTTAATTTGACACATGTTCATTGGCTATTACACTGAATTTTAGTTTTTCTAGAAGAATTAATCAAGTGTAACCATGTGTCAAATAAACCGTATACACGTCATACAGTAATTTGTTGTAAAATCTGACACAAATTATTGCTGTATTAACCAGGAAAGCAGAGTTCTTTTTCAATCAAACTTTCACACATCATACGGACATATCTAACAATAGGTGAATAGGTGAATAGGTGAACAGTTCATACTGGAATCTGGGCTCGCTGGGGTACGAAAAAATAATACGCGGCCTGGAAAGTCCTAGTCGATCGGCCTTCCTAACATCACAATAAAAGAATTTGCTGAAGACGATGACATTCTGGGAGAAACGAGTCACTGTGTATGGCACCAAGTGATGTGAGGATGATAAGATGCATTTCAGTGTTTTCACAAAATCAAGGAGGGGTACAATTTTTGAAAATCTTACCCTGCATTTGGAGAGGTTTCACAGCCTCTTCACATTGACATGCATCCTGATGCTAAGCTGGTCGAAGTGCTGGTCTAGTATGTGGTTGTTCAAACAGCCTCTCGATCAAATGCTGCACAGGTTTGTAATACTGTAGTAATCAAATAAGAAGACATACATAATAACAAAAAAATATAATACACAAAATGGCATTCTGCATTCATTGCTATCTTAATATGAGCACTGGTTTCTCTTACAGTACAGAAAGATCAAGATGTTAATTTGACACATGTTCATTGGCTATTACAATGCTGTCTTTCTATTTCAATTTAGTTTTTCGAGAAGAATTAATCATGTGTACCATGTGTCAAATAAACCGCATACACGTCATACAGTAATTTGTTGTAAAATCTGACACAAATTATTGCTGTTTTAACCAGGAAAGCAGAGTTCTTTTTCAATGAAACTTTCATACATCATTCGGACATATCTAACAATGATTTTGGCATGGGATGAAAGACTCAAATGTCATTTTGGGCGATACCTGACAATTTCCAGGTGCACCTGTAAGGGTAGCACACCACTTGAGTCAAATCTTGTCAGTATACCAGGTCTCTACTTTTAACGGAAACACCACCCGTAATCGATAATCTTACAAATGAGTTTTAGTAGTCCAGTCCATTCCACTAATAAGTTCAGAAAAAACAGTTTCCAGACTAATTGTATAATTTGAATACCCATTACAATACTACAGTAATCGTTCATGGGTCTGCAGATAGAGACTAGTCCATTGTCTAGGATGTACGCATCTACCATGCTTTGAATGTATGCAGGTAAGAATTGGCGCACACACAATGTACGTTCACTTTGGGCGCTTGCCTTTACCAAACTCTCTAGCCTTAGCTTGGCAAAGGGGTACGTGTTTCTCAAAAATGGGCCATTTTAGCTTTTTTCCATTCCCAGGGTTTTCAAGGTCCAAATTGTAATTAAGCAAACTCCCGTATAAGCTTAGATTTAGGTTTCCGAGATATCAGGGGCCATATACACCCAATTACATAATTTGTATAGTACTACTGTATGGTACTGTAGATCTATATATCCACGTCCATGGAATTGTTATAACTTAAGCGATTTACATGTTGTGTTGGGACGTATGGGATGCTGGCCTGGATCAACCTTACCTTAAAGGGGAATGAAACTGTGGCTTTCGGTTATTATTATTATTATTATTATTGTTTAGAGGGTGAACAGACATTTGATTTAATACATAACTTGGTAATTGTGGCCTCCTGGATCCAATAAATCCTTACGTGAACATAGCAACATAACCACATTTTACTAATTCTTATGGCGGCAAAAGATGATGGGAGTGGCCATGTTCTTGTAAATTACCTGACATGCTTTGCAAACTCTGACGTACATGTACTGTATGTGCCAATGGTCGAACAAAAAGCTTTTCACTGATTTCAAAGCGTCTACAAGTATTCAGATTTCAGACGATGGTTTCTTAAAGCATGTACATTGTAGTTGTACAGTGTCAGCCAAGCCCAAGGCCAAATTTTGTAATCAATTGCATGATGCGCAAAATCAGGGGGGGGGGGGGGGGCATGCACTCAGTCATAGATCCAGACCTAATGTAATAGTATAAGACGGGTATGTGCTACTACTGCCTGCTAGTGCAGTTAACCTTTTAGTTCTACAACCATGCGCGTAGCCAGGGGGGGCAGTCGCCCCAAAACGCCGGCCAAAAAAAAAAGAAAAAAAGAAAAAAAGAAGAAAGGAAGTGGACGTAGGAAGAAAAAGGATTAATAAGAGTCGAGAACGGTACAACAAATCGTGTTCTTTCTTTAATAATCTAATTAAAAACGTCAAAGCTTCCGCGCTATGCGCAGAGGAAGGGGAGCTTGATTCAAACAAGGATTAAGAGTTGAGGACGGTACAACCAATCTTCTTCTTTCTCTAAAAGTCTAATGAAACGTCAAAAGAAACTGAATTTAGATAAGGATTAAGAGTCGAGTACGGTCCAACGAATCGTCTTCTTTCTCTAATAATTTAATGAAACGTCAAAGCTGCACCCACCCCCTAGGGAGCCGCTACGCGCGCTCTGTGTTTTGCAGGCTTCGCGTGCTCACTAAAATTAGATCCTGGCTACGCGCTTGTCTACAACGGCTAGTGCAACACGCCGGTAACTGCAAGTTTAGCTAGACTAGATCTAGAGACTAGTAGTAGTACTAGATGGATCTAGATCTAGTCTAGTATTGTTTAGTAGTCTATTCCTGTTTTCGACGCCTTTGGCGTCGGCATCGGAGCTTCCTGGCCATGGAGTTCTATAAAGAATTTAAAGTTAGATCGACAAATCTATCGCTTTCATATGGCCCCTCTTTCATATTTACTGCAGCAGCAGTCTTTCAGTTTGGCCGTTTCTAAATCTAATTCACCACAAAAAAAACACTAAAATAATAATATTAATAACTCATAAGACTAAGCAAAGGCAAAGGAAAAGAGGCCATGCATTGTTAACAATACTAGATTTGTAGGCCTAGACTCGAGTCTAGTTCTAATTTATCCTCCTAGACGTCTAGTCTATGATTAAACTAACAACACAGCCGGTAAAGTACATACCAGCCTTCGTCCAGCTCGTCGAGTAAGCTGCCTCGACATCCACGTCGACAGCAATCATGTCGATCCTGCAAAAATGTGCATGCATTCACGTCACCGTTTGGCGTCCAGTCTAGTAGTAGCTAGAGCTAGCTACCCTCTCGGGCCGCGAGTCGACCAGCCCGGCTGGCCGGCCCGGCTAAGGAGGCGCGCATCGCAGTCGGATATCCTGGTCGCTCGATCAGGCGAAAATCAATACTGTACGAAAATGTTAGAGTTTTCCTAACCCTAGCTAGCTAGCCCTATGGCCTAGGCAGCTAACCCTAGATTGTTCACATTTCAACGCAAGTTGGCGCTTTTTGCCTTTGAAATCGAGAGTCCGTCATGATCTTTGGGAAGATCAATACTATTTTGTAAACTTTATTTAAAAACAGGAAAATGCGTTTCCAGTAAAATTTCCAGCGGATTTAAATCACAATTTACTCCTGCTAACTTGGTTTAAAAGGGCAATCAATAAATCCAAGAATTGGAGCCGTCAGAAAGGGATTGTGTTACGGGGACATATACGAGTCCCCGTAACGCGGCAAGTCCCCGTAGCACGGGGATATACCGACAGAATGTCCGCGTAGCACTAGTTTTACATAAATATACATATATATATATATATATATATATATATAAATTTAACCAATCAAAAAGTATTACAGTTCTAAGAATTTTCTTTGCTCTATCTCTATTATTGTGAATGTACTCCATGCAAATAAAGCCTAATTAAAAGGGGGAAAGGACTTTAAGCAAGGCACTTAATTACTTAGCAATAAAAAGCATGAAAGCATAGTTAAGGTGCATAGGCAATAAATCATTACTTTAGGTTGAAAGTGTATTATATACAAATGCTATCAGTAGTACATCTATTGTCGTAAACTAACCAAATTCACACGCATGTCAATTTCTTTAACACACACAGAAAGAAATAAGTAGCTCAGAGAATGAAAAATTCGTTTTTGAAGCCTAAATAAAGATAACTCAGTAATCAATGGAATATTATACGAAACATGAAGAGTCTATTTCAAAGAATATTGCTATTATTGTAGCAAACACATAGAAAAGAAGAAATATTACTAAAGGTTTAATATGGTCAACGGATATTTCAAATTTTAGAAAATCCAGTCCAATAATTAAAGGTTACCGTTTTAAGCTTCGATATACTTTCATTAATCACGTAATATATAGAGTGAACATCGAACAGAGCCTTTTGATACAATCAATTGGTTTAGGGCTAAAGTTACAGCTAGTATATTCACCATATTAACTTAAATATGAATATTCATGAAATTGCACAAATTGCCTTTCACAATAACGTTACACAGGATATACAATATATGATGGATATGGGATAGTTTATCTGGATACATAACTCATTGCTGTAAAAACATTACCGTTCAGTTTGTTTTGAATGAGATTCAACAAGTCAAGATTTATTTTGGTCGAATTTTAATTTTTCGACTTACTTTCAACGGTACAATAGAAATAAACTTTCGAATGTCTTCATGTACGAACCTAAACATTTCTACAGCGAACTCTGTATTCTATAGTGCAAAAAATGCTATTTTCGTAATGTAACTAAAGTTAATGCATACATCTTTGAGGAGTGCCTTAATGCAAATTGTTTCATCTACCTGTTGCAAATAGTTGTAATTTAGTAGTCATAATACGCGTTGCAAACGTTATTTGTTGCTAGGTAGGACAAACATTAGGGTTTGCCCGACCTAACAACAAGTAATGTATGTTATTGGCATTCTGACCACTGAAATGTAATTGTTCGTAACAGGTGAATGAATTTGGTTTGTAACATGGCATTTAACAAAGATTTGTGCATTAAATTGGAATCCATTACGAAAATGGCCTAACGCCTTTACATACGTGATTATCATAGGCAATACAGCAATCAATACGGAGGCCTTGTGCAACAGGCATCACACTAGCGTCTACCTTTCCCTCATTTAATAATTCAAAACAAACCTGTCTATAACGGCCACTCAAGGGAAACATTTAAATTGACCAATATTGACAGGTGGCCACTATTAGAAACAGGTTTGACTGTATTACATTTAAAAAGCGCCTTTTCATATTAAAGATACAAAGCTTCATTCGACACGATTTTGCAATCAAAACATACAAAAAAGGTAACGTAAACCAAATTCTACTTTGACATGAGATGTGATACAATCAAACATAGAGAAATCAAGATGGCGGTCGTTGTCATGGAGATGGATGAGGCTCCACCGATGTACTCCCAGCGGTATTGCTGGAATCTCGTCCTGGAGAGCATCCATTCACGTGCATTACCCGAAAGTTTCCCATCCAACTCTTCTCGAATTCGTTCGTTGTAGTTGTTATACCATTCAAGCTTTTGAAGGAAGAAAGGGTACCAACAATTATTTACACTTCTCAGCATAACCAATAGCAAAATGTATACGTACTAGTTCAACTTCATTAAAACATTAGATTTAATTCATTTTTTTGATTTGTTTTAATTACAAAACGTTAATAAAAAGACCTCTCTTTAACATCTCATTTATAAGACCTCTCTTTAATTAAACATCCCATCATCAATGCCATTATCCTATTTAGACAATATTTAAGATGGGATAAATTGAAATATGATTCCATTAAACAGATGTCAAAAAAGTAAACTTATAATACTACTGCATCTAGTTCTTATCTAAAAAAGAGTGCCATTGCATATTTAGTTTAACCGTACTTTTCATTTCATTTGTTTTGTAAAGCGCTAAGAAACTGTATCTGTATATATCTTAGATATTATTATTATTATTATTATTATTATTATTATTGCGGGGAGGTTGCAATTGATTAAATGATATAGTCATTGCCTTCAAAGGTGAATAAAAAAAGTACCAGAAACTATTAAATTGAAATATGATTCCATTAAACAGATATCAAAAAAGTAAACTTATAATACTACTGCATCTATTTCTTATCTAAAAAAGAGTGCCATTGCATATTTAGTTTAACCATACTTTTCATTTCATTTGTTTTGTAAAGCGCTAAGAAACTGTATCTGTATATATCTTAGATATCATTATTATTATTATTGCGGGGAGGTTGCAATTGATTAAAAGATATAGTCATTGCCTTCAAAGGTGAATAAAAAAAGTACAAGAAACTATTTACAAACAAAAATGTTCGTGAAACGTGATAACCACGAGTGTCCAAAAGATCGTATATTACATGTAGTTATCTTCTTCCAATCAAGCTTAATCACCATTAATTCTTGCATTTGATTTAAATTGTCAACTTTTTTTTACATCGATATTTTAATTTTAGAAAAGGCTAAGTCCCCTTACCTGTTTTCTCGTAAACATTTCAAAGTCAATCAGCCTCGGTTCAAAAGGCACAAAAGAAATGACCTCAAACTCAAGATACTCCTCACCTTCCTGTCCATACTGTATAGGAAGAAAAATCAATTCATGGAAGGTGTCGTAGTGTAGTGGTTTGCTGATATGACTGAGAATGAAGTCATTGGTTCAAGCCCCTGTAGGGTACGTATGTTGTTTATTAAGAGTTTGATCTTTATTCGCCACTCCGAGAAACGGGGACTAGATGGGATCTGGAAATTGATTGTGATCGACTATAACCTATTACCCTTATTGTGTCTTATATGGCAGAAAGTTTCCTATAAAAATGAGTGGAAATGATGTATACATGGTACTTATTTTTGTTGTATTCTTTAGTATCCTTGTTATGTACAATCTATTATATAAAAAAAATAATAATAATCGGATAAATTACAGGGAACTTTTTTCTCACAAAACTATCATAGACTTGTTTAAAGCTCTCCTTTTTCATTTTATATAAATTGTAATGTTAACATTTTGTATAAATTGCCGATAATATTGATTACTCTGTCTGTTCATTGTTTTGTTTTATGAATGTTAATTAGCTTCGATTGTATTTGTATGAAAATTGAATAAATACACGATTGATTGAAAATTGTGCGAATGAATCCGATTACCGGGGTACTTATATCTTTAAAGCGCATACATATATCTTTTTACAAACGTTATGTAATCTAAATTTGTATCATTACCAGTGAAATGCTTTAGATGTTGGAGATCATAACTATGACACAGATTATTCAATTCCTGAATGGAAACGTCTACCAACAATAATTTTTTGTTTACATCATCTTATTATGTTTCGAGGAAGAAAATAACAATTCTCGCAAATTTCGGGGAAATCAACTTTGATTGAAAAAAAGAAAAGAAAAATGAATTAAAGGGGCTGTAGCATGGGAAATACTGGTTGACGCCATCTACGTCCTTTTTTGGACAATTGCACTTATATGAATGGACTTGCTTAACTAGGTCAGCGCGCGCTAGCGTTCGCGAAACAGACCGAAGTTCTCCTCACGCTTCGGTTTTTGCGTAAGTTGCGTCGTCCGTAGTCGTATTATACCCGATTGGCCCGAGTCAGGCCATGGGAAAGACACGTAGTCTCGTCATGCTACAGCCCCTTTCAATTATTAATGGAAACTGAAAAACAACTCTGACGTTCAAGATGACTTACCGGGGTTTCAGATGGAATTACCCGCATGACGTTTGTGAGGCGTACTCCGAAGTCGTTGTCAGTGGCACTGGTTGGATCGATGTTGTAGTAACCGGGACCTGTGAAGGTGGATAGGATAAACATACTTCCTGAGAAAATATCGAGGGCTGATATCTGTTTTACAAGAAGTGCGGTTCATGCGTACACAGAAGCTAATTAGTTCCGACGGACAGAAAAAATGCAATATACTATGCAGCCGAACTTTTTTGTGTGTGAATCAAACACGTGAATTCTGGGTCTCATCGAGTCAGTTTACCGTATTCCAGAATATCAGAAAACGAGAAATATAAAATCTTGTTAAATTGACGTTTCTTGAGAGAGAAAGACTAGACGATAAAATGACAAATGTCATCAAATCCCCTTAGGACGAGATCATAGACAAAACAAAGTTTATACAGGTAGTGAAGAGATGATAATATGCCGAATTTGGACAATTGGCCCTTTTTGTGACGAGAATGCCCAAACTCGTCAACCAGACTTTTTGATGACAAGAAGGTAAAAAGCTGAACTCGTCAAACCAAATTTCTGATGACAAGATGCCGAAACTAGTCAACCGTATTTTCTGCTGACAACGAGGTTAAAAGAGAAGATGCCGACAGCCGAGGCTCTACAATTCGACTTTCTGGTGATGAAAAGACAAAATGACGAAACTCCTTAACCAACTTCCTGGTAATGAGACGACAAGATGCGGACACTAGTCAACCGACCTTGGTGACGAGAAGACAAGATACCGAAACTCGTCAACCCGACTTTCTGGTGACGAGATAACAAGATGCCGAAAGTCTTCAACCCGACTTTCTAGTGACGAAAAGAAAAGATGCCAAAACTCGTCAACCCGACTGTTTGGTGACGAAAAGACAGTATTTTGAAACTCGTCAACCGATATTCGGTAAAGAAAAGACAATATGCCGAAATTCGTTAACCCGACGTTCTGGTGACGAGATATCAAGATGCCGAAAGTCGTCAACCCGACTTTCTAGTGACGAAAAGAAAAGATGCCGGAACTCGTCAACCCGACTTTTTGGTGACGAAAAGACAGTATATCGAAACTCGTCAGCCGACATTCGGTAACGATGTCGAAACTCGTCAACCGACTTTTGTTGATGAAAAGACAAGAAGCCAAGGTGACGAATCTCGTCAATAGACATCCTGGGGACGAGAAGTAAAAATGAAAAGATGCCGAAACTTGTCAAATTGACTTTCTTGTGACGAGAATATCTGAAAGCAAGATCCAGAATCTGAAGCCTCTTTGTTACAATTAGATGAAGGTGTCAACTTTAATGAAAATATATATTATCAAAAAAAAGAAAATTTATTTTCTCATTTCAACAAATGTTGGTCAAAGGAATGGTGACGTAATCACGTATTTGTTGCCGTTGGTGCTTTAAAATTCCAGTTCGCTTGATCGTAGAATAATTAATGTATATCCATTAAACTTCTTACAATCAACGAGACCTCGACTATGAAAAAATAATTACTGAATATGCATCCATTACAAACCCAAAATCGACCACGATCCAATACATTCGTTGAATAGATAACTGGATATTCAGATTCAAAATGGGAGGAACACATATACTATTCTTTTTGTACAAATTTGTTTGAACATTTCCTATTAGTATTATATGGATACAACAAAAACGAATATTAACAGAAACTTACCGTTTGAGAGTATCATGTTTGCATGAAATGTTTCATCTAGTGTGTAGTCTCCGATGTTGACAGGTTCTGAAATTGAATGAAAAATAGTTAAGAAAGGAACAATAATGTTGGTATGAATGTGTACCCACAGGGACTTGAAAAAATATAGGGTCGACGTTGCAATCTAATTCTTCCTTTAGAATGAGTTAATCACCTTAGTCATCTAGATCATTTTCTATTGGAATAGATATTCATATAGCATATTATAGTTGATTGAATATAATGTTTGAAGCTTAAATGATATACAGTGCGTCCCAGAAAAAACGAAACCGAGAACTATCGATGTTTTATCATAACTTAGTCACGTTTATAATTAATAAATGACACATATTTGGAAAGCTTAGATCATCTTCTTTCATTTGATGCAACTCTTATAATCCACATTTCATGCATGAGTGATTTAAGTGAATATGAAGAGAGGAAACCAAAAAGTCATTTGGCGGGCGGTATCTGAATTTCAAGGAGAAAATCACATTTCCAAAAAATTGAGATTCTGCCCTTTCATATGACACCTCAATCATGAAAAATGAGCAAGGAATGGACAAATTCTGTTTGTTTAGGTAGTGCTTGCATTTCCATAATTTTATCAAACGAATTCGTTTTCACTGGCTAACTGCCGCAGCAACAAGCAGAATCGACAAAAGACTTAATTCCGTTTCGTTGACAATAAGCCATGCATGACGTCTTACGTCTACGGCTATATGTGTCATTTATTAATTATAAATGTGACTAAGTTATGATAAAACACCGATAGTTCTCGGTTTCGTTTTTTTCTGGGACGCACTGTATATGCGCATAGCGTGCTACATATACATGTAAAACCACAAACAACACGAATTGCAGAGTTTGATTAATATAAAGAAGACAGTGCTGGCCGAATGCGTATATCCACCTTCATGCTAGTATGGTGCATGTAATATATAGATGCTGACGCGCTAAGACAATAAAATCGCGACCATACGGCTAAAAACTACAAGTAAGTCACAACAGACGCGACAATCTGGGTAAATGTTTGTGTGCGTGAGGGGTCTCTAAATAGATTCAATTGATTATGCTTGGTATTGAAGCAAGTTATACCGAAGTAAACTACGAGCATTATCAAGTTTTAGAAGACAAACAAACTGCGGCTTATTGGTAGTTTTTAACGGACAGATCACAGTTTATACCTTAAGAAAAAGAAGCATAACAGCAAAAGTATGTATTCTATTTTATAATTCAATTAATGATTTGCAAAATGCATTATATTAACGTACATTGATTCCTGTGATTGATTTCTTGTCATAATTATCTATATCAATTGTTCTATTGGAATAGAAAATAAAAATAAAACTGAAACTGAAACTGAAATTGAAAATCAATGAACCGGACAGTTCTTTGATACGTACCTTCATGTACAGTAAGATACTGTCCTAGTCCGTAGCCAGTAGGATGGATGTAATCTAAGCCCACGTCCCACAGATGCTGACGTGCTAACATATCGAGGTCACGACCTATAGAGGATAAACATCAACAACACAAATAATGTTATAGCGTGGATAATACCATGCAGATAGTAGCAGTCTTTCCATGAAAATAATGGAACCGGTAGAGTTTTAAATGAAAAGAAGAGGAAGAGGTTATTACAATTTTTAGGTTCAGGTGTCGCGGTCGAGTGGTTATGTCGTCGGACTGTGGATCCCAAGGTCCGTGGTTCGAGTCCTGCCACGTGACCAACGTCCTTTGCAAGACATTAATCGAAATTTGCCAACCCCGAACCCAGGTGATTTAAATGGGGTTAATTAGGATTAATTCCTTGAAATGCTAGAGCGCTGCTATGGCAGCCATGCTAAAGCCGGGGTAATAATCGGGAGCGCCAGGAGGGTCAAATCTGACTGACATGAGCGCTGAACAAAAACCCACTATTATTATTAATGTTTTGTGGAATTTATGATCACATCTTATTCACCTGTAAATATCGATTAAAACAGGTTCATACGTGTACATTGACCACTATCTCTTGCTCGTTAGCTCACTAATGATTGACAGATGATGTCACAAGATGAATGAGATCTGAAGCATTTTCTTTGGGGGTGGAGCTTTTCCGGTCAGTGAAAGATATTTTGAAAAATATTTAAAAATCTATGAAATATATTTAGATGTTTGAATAACAAAATATGAGTTGTATGCATACCTGCACATTAACAGGAATAAACTAATATTTAGATTTCACCCGACCTTTAAGTAGGAAATCAATTGAGAAGCTTACCGTAGATATTTGCGCGAAATGATGCATTGCACAGGTCGATATGGCCTAGGAGCACTCGCGTATAGATTTCCTGAACGAAATAAATCAGAGGGGAAAGGGAACGAGAGAAGAAGGAGGGGAAAAAAATGAGAGAATGAATAGCAGAGGAAAGAGGGGGATGGATAACGATGGATATGGAGAGAGAAAGAGAGAGGTAGAGAGAGAGAGAGAGAGATAGAGGTTACAATAGAGGTTAAACAATGAGGTTATGCGAACTTTTAATAACACAGCTAAGGCAGATGTAGCCATAAAATACAGAAGCCATCATGTTTGTCCTACCTAGCAACGATCAATGTGAGGTGTGTGAAATAATTTGTAACGAGGCAATAACAAAGATTCATGCATTATCTGATTACATTACAGAAATAGTCTATTAAAAAATGTTATATTTCAGCGAAAAGGGGAAAACAGTGTAGTACACTGTGGTTTAAACATTGATAGGAAAGATATACCATCTCGAGGTCTGTTGGTTCCTGTACGTCATAGTACTTGGACACATCGACTTCCTTGGCGAAAAAGAATGCTCTCGATAAAGTTGTGGTCCCTTCTCTGTGGAAAATAAATATGATATGAAATATTACTAGCTGTCTTTATTGGAACATTGAGGAGGGATAAGAAATAATAAGGAAGAGAGATGAAGACACAGAGAGAGAGAGAGAGAGAATGAGAGAGAGAGAGAGAGAGAGAGAGAGAGTTAATTTATTTTATTTGTCGTTTTATTTTGATAGGGTAGCCCTTTCTCGACCAAGGGACCCTGTATCAACATGATCACAGACATATTTACAAAACATATAAACATACGTAAGTTATAATAAGCACATACATTAAACAAAATATATATTAAATACATTATAAATTATGTGAGGGAAAGGAGTTTGCAGTGTTTTTTTAAAAATGAATCCAGTGAGTTTAATAAACCTGAAGAAGGGGGTAATGCATTCCATATAACGGAGCCTTGGCAACAGAAAGATTTTATTCATCAACATTTGTCATTAATAACTTAGTGTTTGATCATTTATAGGCGTATTGGTATCAATATTCTTTTTCCTTCAACGATCGCTATAACATTGTACACAGCTGGAAGAAAGAAAAAGGATTTGAAAAAAAAAATCTATGAATAGACGGGGAAAATGTTGAAAAGAAGATGGCGTTTAGAATCCATTTAACAATGATAATAATTAATAGTAAATCTATTTAACAAACAAATCTGTACCTGTATTGGGCACCAATATCGTAGAGGAATATCTTGCCCGTGGTGATCGGAACACGATCATTCTCCTCCGAACTGAAATACAGAAGATTGATTTAAAAAAAGTAGTAGAAATAATAATAATACCAATAATGTATTTTGAACCTAATTGTTTGAACTGAACTTTGACCTTGTGTGAGGAAAGATTTGATGAGCTTTAATTGACCAGGAACAGGTCAATGGTAGTGGTGACATCTACAGGTCTTTAAACTTAATGGGCGTCATCATGTGTGATTCTGATAATTGTAAGATAGGTATGGTGCGCATATTAAAAGAATATTTTTAGTTTCTCCATGCGTACAATCCAAATGTTGACCATTATACATATTACAAAGTACTACATCTGATATTATACAAAATAAGGGTGATTATCATTCAAGATACGACGATATAAATTATTAACATTAAACAGCATAAAGGTACTACTAGAAATAATGACACAGCAACCGTGGTGTCATAAAGCAACCGTGGTAACATAAGGATGTTATTTATTTACCGCTTTATTCTTAAAGGAAATGGGTGGAAACTGTAAATAGACTACATAGATCAAATCAAATCAAATCGAATAAGCACAAGGTACAATGTATGTAAAGTTTTCAGGGTTACACTATGTAATTTTTTTCAAAGGAACTAGAGCCCTGAAAGGGTTTGTAAGTTGAGCTAAGAGCTCTTGGTTCTCATCGCTTCTCGATGTTTGCTCTGATCGTCTTTAGAAGGATTGTTCATTTTGATGCGTGTTTCATCTTTATTTCTGGTATAAAAATGTTTCCTCGTCTTGTAAAATACATGTTAAAATGGAGAGGTATATCTTTAAGAAGGGGGTACTTACCGGTAATAAAAGTCTGCACTGTTTGGTCCAAATGCCGAGATCGTTTCGTAACTCGGGTACATGTACGACCCTTGGTAGCTATAAGATAAGGAGAATAAAAATAACAAGATTTTTTTTTCATTGACGACTAATAAATAATTGCGTAATGATCAGTTTGGAATCAAAATGGTCAACAAAGTCTATAATAAAAGCTGTTTTCCATTTGTGCTTTCCATAATAATAATGATGGTGGGTTTTTGTATAGTGCTCATATCCGTCAGACTTGACATTCCTTGCGCTTCACAATTGCCCCGGCTTTAGCATGGCTGCCACACGACGCTCTAGCATTTCAAGGAATTAATTCCTGTCAGGTTCCCATTTACATCACCTGGGTCGAGTGTGGCAAAGTGAGATTATGCTTACTTATGTAGAGGTACTGTGGTCCAGTGGATAATTCCGGACTGTGGATCACATGGTTCATGGTTCGAATCCCGCCGTGGCAAGACATTAATCTTTATTTGCCACTCTCCATCCAGGTGATAAACGGGTACCCGGTAGGATTGGCATGTGCGCTTGTAAAATGGCGCCTTCCCAGAATACTCCCCACAGAGCGGGGCACGTTCACTATTATGTCCTGATTAGCAATTTAATCCAATGACAGGGATAATGATTATAATATTCACAATGTAAAGTTATTAGAATCGTAAAATTAAGCGCTATACAAATTTGAGTATTATTATCATTTTGTTATTATTTTTAATTTCTTGTAAATATATAGTTTTGGATTCTTGTCCGATTGCACTCGTTTAAACAGTAAAACCTGTATATAAACGAAGACGAGAAATTTGGTCTTTATAGACAAGTACAAGCAGTCACTAAGGCAGTTGTGACTATACTGATCATTAATATTTTTGGCCAAGAGAAAACACATCATCGTCACTTGAAGTAATGACACATGGGACCCGTTTCACGAAGCCCTTTTTTCAATGACAAATGAAACAAATCAGTGACAAATCTGCTGATAAGCAATCAGAATGAAGGATTTTACTAGTTTATAACAAAAACTGTTATTTTGTCACTGATGAAAAGTTTTGTGAAATGGGGCCCTGGTATTTTGCACAACTTTCCGGTATGTTTTTTTCTTCTTCAAAGAAGTTGATCGCTTACTCTCGTATAGTCTGCAGTCTCTCGGCCGCCATGTATTCCGTCAAAACTTCCGCATTGCCCACCGCGGGATCCTATTGGAATAGAGAAAGTAGTTACTTACATTGTTGACTTCAAATTAATTTGTGCGCTTGAAGCCCCGCCCCTGATCCCTGCCAACAATCAGTAAGGATTTACCGTTAGAAAATGATCAGCCTGGCCCAATATTATAGTTTTATAAGGTCCTTTAAGTAACGAAGGGGCTATGTCTTATACAGAACTGCGATTCATCCAAATAGATCGCAAGTCCCTTAATCAATTGCGAACTTGCAATGTATAATCACATAGTTTCGAGTGACATTAACAAACATTTTATTATAGTGACGACGCCATCGTTATGTATCACGCGTACCTTCTTGCATGATGGTTTCCAGACATTTACCAACAAAAACAACAACAACTACGACAAAAAAATATAAACAGAAAATAACAACATTTTCGTTGGTCCAGACGTTACGAACATTTGGCAGCCCAGCTACACCCCCTCCCCCATTTTCAATTTCTTGCCTTTCAACTTAAAACTTAATTAAAATATAAAAAAGGGAGGAGCAACACTGAATTCTTTCCTTGCCATCGATTAGTTTTATTGTAGAAACACTGGTCAAGGGTATCCATGAAAGGATATCATTTTAAGAAAAAAAACATTCCTATTAATAAGCCAGACCTCAGTCACACCAACGAGACCGACAGCAGACCAACTACAGACCGATTAAACAATTACATTATCCCCTATGGCCGAAAATCGGCGGTTTGGTGTCGGTACGGAGGTCGGGTTCGGGGTGTAACTGGGGTATGAAAGGAGAATCTTCCGGGGAAGCGGTGAGGTTATTAAGGAGAAAAGGAAGACTGTTAAAGCCTATCTGCACTAGTTTGGCCAGGAGGGATTAGACCTCCCTGCAAGGTCACTGACAGGTGGTTATCTCATCAAATCAGCTCTCAATTTTCATAATAAAAAGGGATCATGTGGGATCATGGGGACCAACGGGTACCGGCTTATGCATTATTTGCTACATAGAGGGCGCAAGTAGCTATAAGTAGTGCAGTGGGGCATTAATACTTACATTCATATCCTCTATCAGTCCTTGCATCCATGTGACCATTTCTATCATTGTTGACGATTCAATTAGCTAGAATAAAAAAAAACCAAACAGCAAAAACAAGATTTTAGTGTAACAATGTACATTTTAAAACTTCTGTGCCACATTTCCAATATAACCCAATATTTCAAGGTCAAATGAACAAGATCAAATGAACAAATTTATATTTTTGTTTCTTACCATCGCTTCTTTCATGACTTCTACTTCTACATCGTTCTTGGTAGCTTTCATTAGAAGAATGGGAGATGGCTCCATGATGTATTTCCTCTGCAATGAAGAAGAAGATAAACTAAACAACCAAAACCCTCAAGACATAGGCATGGCACAAATTAAATTCGAAGTTATATAAATTAAACTATTGAAGCTGAACGTGACTTAAAGGTAAAGTTGAGTTCTGGTCATGCGATTGCATTGTGAAAAAAAATGCGTGGAATCCATCAGAAAAGGTTGATCATCTAGCATATAAGTATTGTGTGTACGGTAAGGTTCGGGAGTCATCAAAATGATAAGAATGTTGGCACCGTCTTGATAAAGGTAACAAACACTGTATAGAGAAAGATGTATATGGGACTACACAAACATGTGGCATAAAAATTGGGCCTCATTTTTAAGCTGTTTCTCGTCATATTTAGAATATGAAGGCATTTGAAGAGCCATGCTTTTCAGGGAACATTTTTTCTTTGAAGTTTTTCCATACTTGCATAATAACAATGAAAATGCTTATAAATTATTTTTCACCTCTTCCCAGAACCCAACCCTCTCTTTAAGTATTAACAAAAAAAATTCATTACAGTAGAGAATGAGCTGCAAATTTGTATACGCAAACGTAAACAAGAGCGACACTCCTAACATAGGGTGCAAATTTGAACTTAACAAAGGTGAAATTTGCACCCTGGACAAAACATTGCTCCTCAAGAGGGGACAATGTGCACATTGAGGGCGCACTCTGCATGGAAAAGAGGACTTTGGCCTCTGCAACTGGCTCCAAAGTCCTAGTTCATTAAAAAAGTAGCGAAGATACTATTTTTGAAATGATAATTCTTACGTCATCACTGTCGATTTTGTTCATGATAGCATTGTATACAAAGTAGCTGGATGAATTGCTGAACCAAATTTTCTCGGAGGTGACCAGATTGTTGTCGATAGTCAAATCGTTGTAGAAAGAAGAAAGTCCTTTGGCAGTGATACACGTGGAGCGATCTGAACCTGCCAATGTTATACATACGATTAAAGATCAAAATATGAAGTTCTGCAAGAAAGAGGGGAAGATGTATTTAACTAGTTAAATACATGTATGTGCGCATAGTATTTAGAAACTGACATTTGCATAGCGGTTTCGCACAAACTCTCTTGCATATAAAGGTTGCGTTTACACGCATCTCGATTTTAGACAATTATTATCGCATATCTGCGACTCGATTTTTCGTTATTAGTTTTGTTGTTTGTGTTTTTTCCCTGTTGTTTAAACAAAACGTTTAGTGAAGGAGTTACGCGTTGGGATATATATCCCAGTCTGATACCCATTTCTAGCCTGATTTTCACCGGATGCATCCGGACGCATCCGATGAAACGGCCAGTATTAATGCTACAGAGGAGAAAAAGGCGATTAAATAGCCGATGAAAAGAAGAGAAATAGACGATTAAATTCTCATTCTATCGGTGTGACACCGACGAAGCAGCCACTGTGAAAGCGTTCGGGAGAAAACACCGATTAAAATGGTCAAAGGTCGCAGTGTACGCGCGCTTTATCGTAACCAGCTGTGTTTGTTGACTTATGGTTCAACATGCTGCATGCTAGCTAGATGGAGCGCGGGCTTAATAATTACGCAATAATGTTTCACTTCCGGCAAGGGTTCGCCACAGCGAGTGAATTTCGCCGGCAGTATGAAAGCGACAGGGAGAAAACGGCAGTTTCACCTTTGTTTACATAAGGAAAATTCAATCGGTATTTTCATCGGTGTGACTCCGATAGAAGCCAGTTTGAAAGCAGATTGATATAGTGTTTTTTTTAAGGATATCTTAAATACTATGCTCTCGGTAGCATGTTTTTGTTTTCTTGCGTTACTTGTTCGCTTGCTAGTTAGCGAATTATGGAGTACAAAGCAACTTACCACCCACCTAGTATATATACGACTGTGCTGCCAACACTAGTCGAAATGTCGCACCGATACCCCTAGACTTAAAGGGAGTGTAGCTTGGCAAATACTGGTTAACGCCATCTACATCCACATCTTATTGGACAACTGCACGTAAACAAATGGACTTGATTTAACGGTAGTCAGCAACTTGATCTCTACATGGTCAGTGTTCGCGAAACAGATCAAAGTTCTCCTCACGCTTCGGTTTCGCGTATGTTGCACGCACGTGATTGCTGCGGTCGCGTCGTCCGTAGTCCTATGTACCCGATTGACCCCGAGTCAGGCCACGGGAAAGACACGTAGTCTCGTCAGTCTACAATCCCTTTAACTCATATAGCCTGCCATAAGGCATTCGCAGCATTCGTAATAGCAGTTATGGTTCATGCTTATTGGACTGTGCTGTGTGTTTTGCACTCGCTATTAATAGAACCATGGCGTTAATCAGATTATCTCCAAAACAAACTGGCACGGTGGGATTTGGGGCTTGGCACAATGGGGATTAGCCCTGTGGCACGATAAGAGTTAATTGACTTTGTAATAAATCACAATATAATATTTCCTTGAGGGAATGATAGCTTACCACACTGCTCAGAATCCAGCTCCAAGTGCTGTCGGATCTCAGGGTAGCGTTCATTATCCAGTCTCACTCCAGTATCGTACAAGTACAGACTACAAACAAAAAGAATGGGGAAAGATCGGGTCAAGCTCGCTATCCATAAGGACCGCTATTCACAAGGACCGCTATCCATAACGCGTGCCTAAATGAATAGCGTTCCTTTATGAATAGCGTTCCTTACGAAAAGCGAGCAGACCCGGAAAGATCGAAGCATCAGCAGCGTTATTTTACTGTCAATACTGCCTTTGGAACAGCAGTGATTTTAAGATTGTAATATCAAATTCATGACATCTTTTGACAAAAAACTGCAGCTGGAGTTTCATGATGACTAAAAATCCATTTGAAAATGCCAAAACTTTGAAATGGAAATGTTCAATGAAGAAAAACAATCGCATTAAAGAAAACAATATCACTATAATTATGCCCTACGATTTCGTTTAAACAGGACTGCACTACTCGTAGCTACTTGCGCCCTATATATAGCAAACAATGCCTAAGCGGTACCCGTTTGTCCCCCATGATCATGCATGATCATGCCTGTCAGTGATCGTGCAGGGAGGTCTAATCCCTCCTGGCCAAACTAGTGCAGACAGGCTTTAATTCGCCTTAGAGAAATGATTGGTATTGTTGACAAAAAAGATAACTTACTAGATGTAGCTGAATCCGATGACTGCATATGATATAAAGACAGGGTTATATGGGACATCTTCTCCGCGGAGATTAAACAACCCTGTAACCATAGTGATGTAAAAGAAAATAAAGATAAAATACTAGGGTGTCAGCAAGATTACAAATACTGAGTTTGATCTTAAGATAATGTCAAACATAATCTAAACGATCTTAACGATACAGAAGATAGTAGTTATCAACAAGTCGTCGTTTTAGTCTTTTTGTCACCTTTTGTAGATTTCGTTCTGTCTACATATACATACATGTTGATATTTATATAGCGCCTTTACATAAACATTCTCAGAGCGCTTTACATCAGTAAATAAAAACAGAATAATTATATGCTCCCCAAGTGCATTACACTCTAAAAATAACAATTACAAAGAAAACAAATGAGTTTTTAGATGTCTACCTTCTAGCTATACCGTCATATACATGTAGAAAATGGATGATGTTGATGATGATAATAAAGATGATATAGTTATTGATTATGATCACGATGATGATGATAGTGACGAGGTGGATGGCCATGATAATGGTGATGATAATGGTTATGATTGTCTTCATAATGAGGACGGTTTGATGATAATGGTGGTGCAGATAATAATCGTGATGATAACGATGATGAAGTTGTTGATGGTTGTTGTAGTCGTGGCGGTAGGGGCGCTTTTGCTGCTACTTTTGACTGTGGCGGTGATGAGGGTAATGATGATGAATGTGATGATTTTAAGAGTAGTTGTGGTGATGAGATGATGATGATGATAAAGTTGATGTCTATGGTAGATGAGGCGGTGAAGGGGATGATGATGATGATGATGATTATGGTGAGGATGATTATGATGATGAAGATGTTAGCGATGGTGATGACAATGATGATGATGATGATGACGATGATGATGATGATGATGACAATGACGGTGGTGGTGACGATGATGATGATGATGATTATGACAATGATGATGATGATGATGATGATGACGATGATGATGATGATGATGATGATGATGACAATGATGATGATGATGATGATGGTGATGAAGATGATGATGACAATGACGGTGGTGATGATGATAATGATGATGATACTGATGATTAAAATTATAAAAGTGTAGTACCAGGATTGTCAAGTGTTGACAGATACATGTATGAGCTCTATATACGGGAACCCACAATGATGATGATGGTTAATGATAATGAGGATGAGGATGATGTCACTCTCAGCTACTTACATGCAATCTCGTCAAGCCCTGTAATGACGAGCAGATCGCAATCTCTCTCTGCCATTATTTGTCGGACATTCTTGTAGTCCGGGTTATCAGGAATCGACTGGAAAATCTTCTGCCTCCACGTATAACCTGGCCAGAAAAAGAAAAAGAAAATCCCAAATAGAGGACGGTAGATCAATCATACTAATCGTTTGATCATCCTGTCTACTAACTAATTAGCATGTCAATTAAAGCGATCACTTAAAGTAGACACACGGAGAATCAAAAGTGTTTTGGATTGATGCAAAACTCATATCATTGCGAAGGGGAAGCCTTACTGATCAAATACAACAACTCTCCTCTTCAAAATATGTTTGGGGCCCGCAGTAATCAACTCTCAAAAACGTTAGTTCTGAGATCCAGATTTTCTACCTTCAGCGGTCCTTTGTAGAGCGTCAATATTTGTGACGACACGGCTGGCTAGCTGCAGACTAATACACGCGCGACTCCGGTACTGAGCTGTTTGTCCAGTGTATGACGTCACTATTCAGAGCTCGCCACGCTCGTGTGTTTGGCTTACGTTCAGGGGCGTTCGGGGGTCTAAGAAGGGTCTTGAAAAAAAATGCATTTTCCGCCTTTCCATGATATCTATATGATTTTTCAGCAAATTATTCGTGTTTTTCAAGAGAAAATCTTTCCATCCATATGTAATTTGTTCTAATTATCAGTTGTAGTGAATTTTTCTTTGTGTAGCTCCTTTAACGAGCTGTCCATCATTACATTTTAATCTATTGCCCATAACAATTCTCGATTTACAAGGTGAAATTGGCTGAAATCATATCTGAGAAGTTATTTACAAGTCAAATCAAAACCCTCTCTATCCTTCGTTGACATGATTACGCGATGCAGAGTCCATGGTGTATTCCCCTTAACCAATAATGTATCCAACCCCATCCTTTACGATATATACCGACTTTCAAAGTCTCAAATTCACTGCGTATTAAATGCTCAAAATTATTGTCACCATTCTCGGAACTCGACCTTCTCTATCAAAGCCCATTTTTTAGTTTACCGCTATCTTACCTGCCATGAAGTCGTTCTGCACCTCTAGTTTCTCCCCGGGATAAGGGTCTTTCGGGCTCTCTAGATCTTCCCAGATTAGGTCGACCAGGTTGTGTTCTTCGTCGTGGGTTCGAAACTGCATGGTCCGAGTCTCCAGATGGTTCGTCTCGGTCAGCTCCAACCAGTTCCCTAAAGAGAGAGATAGAGAGAGAGGGAGTTAGAGAGAGAGAGAGAGAGAGAGAGAGAGAGAGAAAGGGGGGGGGGGAGAGAGAGAGAGAGAGAGAGAGAGGGAGATAAGCTCATTATATATCTCATTAACTCAGCTCTCAACTAACATAAGAAAAAGAGGATCATGGGGGACCAACAGGCACCAATTGGGGAAGTTTTCTATATAGAGGGTGCAAGTACATGTAGCTACAAGTAGGACAGTGGGGCTTTAAAGCACTGCTGCTACACCGACGAATTATAATGTTACTAATAAATGCACTAGATGGTGCCAGAATACCAAGAGGGTAGTTGAGGAGAATGGGGTGACCGGGGGGTACAAAATGTAGAGGTACACACATATTTTTCTAGATTTATAACCAGAAAAAAACAGTTATCCACCACTCTGTCAAAGGGGAATAACCTAATGAATCGCCAATACTTTTAAAGATAACTTTAATTAAAAAAAGGCATCTCCACAATCTTGTTCAGGAGTCAATTACTAGTGTAGTCGGAGTAATTTAGCTAGGATCAATGCCCCCTCCCCCTTCCCCGATCCATCACCCACTACTGCTACTATGAATAATGAAAGACTTGCTTTTTATATTATTTTCCTTAATTTTGTTTTCTTCAATCCTCTATCGGTATTTTACTATTGATTCTAGACTTGTGGCTGAAACGTACCCTTGATACGTTCATCATGCAAAATATACCAACTTACCCCTATTTCTGAACTCTTCTTAAAAAATGATTGGAAATGACACCACAACACAAATGTATTATAATATTCTTCTATTAAAAATGATCTTATATCTTGATACCTACCATTCGCTTTATCCAAATCGTATTCTAACTTTCTTGACTTACTGTAAGGCATGAGGCGGGGATCGAAACCGACTTGTGATCCGGCAGGCATGCCAGCTCCGGGGATGAAATTGATGTCGTCCGGATCGGTTGTCCGGTCATCCCGGATTATCCACTCCCAGGGGGTCAGAAAATCATCATCACCTGCATGGTCAGTGACGTTTAATAACAAGAAAATTAGAATATTGCAAAATTAATGTTAGAAAACTTAAATCATGGCAAATACTAGAAAAGTTCTGAAGTCCACCCTGATATTAGGGGATTTGAAAAGAAGTAGAAAATGAGAGGAACAGGTTAGTCAAATTTTGAGCAAAATCTGATTAAAAATAAGAAAATTATGAATTTTTAAAGTTGCAATCAATCAAACAAAAATTAGCGACTCTGTTTACTCTGTATACAGAAATTCAGAAATGTCTATTTTTGCCCTATAGAAAATTTCAAATGATACATGCATTCTAAATATAATTGTTGAAAATATTGTTGCCCTGTATAAAACAAATCTATTCCACCATCAATAACTAATAAAGTAAAAGTGAATGAAATTTTCTGTACAGATCGAAATAAAAAGGAGCTCGCAAGATACGTCACAGAGTTTCCAATTTGTGTTTGATTGATCGCAACATAAACAAATAATTAGTTTTTTATTTTCAATCGGATTTTGCTCAAACATTCACTGACATGTTTCTCTCATTTTTATGCTTCTTCTAATATCAACTTAAAATCAGGGTGGACTTACCCTTTAATAACGTGCGATTAGTTTTAATTCTAATTGTTGTAATTGTCTTATAAACATATTTCTATTCCGTATTAAATGTTCAAAGTATTCAATTAACATGGATAGACTATGATGGATATGATTCGAAGTAGGAAGTTAAATGATATGCACGGAGTCGTAATATTTCATAAGGCCTATAGGCATAAAACATATAGCCACAATACAATAATTCCGATTTCTCCAACCCCCTGCCACCCAAATCAGAAAACATGCCCCACTTAAAAAATGTAAACAAATATTTATTGCATACATTTTTTAACCTCATCAAATCCTCAGTAAACAAGCCTTTTCCCTTGTGTTATAAAATACGACATATACAAAAATATGTACTTCTCTGTGGAGTAGGGGGTTCTGTGAATATTAATAGTAGATATTTTAGAAAATTAAAGAAAATTATAACATTATATCAGAATAGATCAAATTAAATCAAATCAAATCAAGAATCATACCGAGGATCATAATTTGCCAGTTACAATCTAACTGCTGCTGTGCAAGTAGCTCAAACTGAGGCTCCGTCCAGATCGCTGCTCCCCACTCTAGGGTGACGATGGCAAAACCTATGTGACAAAGAGGAGGAGGCGGGGGGGGGGGGATTATATAGAGAGTGAATGAAGTGTTGGGGGGGGGATTCCCCTAAAACGATACATCACAATATCCGCATAATTCAATTTGGTTGGTTGGTCGTTTGATTTTACCCGACTGCTAAGAAAGCATATAATATATGCTTGTAAGTAGGTAACCAAGGGACCCATGACTTTTTAAAAGCTGACAGTCCTCTCCGATGGACTTGGTAATGAGGATTACTGCCTTTCATACTAAATGGCACTAGCATATGGACCTGGTTTCGAACCCGGGACCTTCCTGTTACGAAACCACGAACTTCTCTAATTCATTCTTATAACCTCATATTGATGAGTGAGAATGTATTCACTTTGATGTCACTGATGGTGCGTTTGCAAAAAAGTTGAGTTGCAATCGATTGAAAATGTGCAATTAATCGCAAGACTTACGCTTGATTTGGGGCATTTGCAATTGATTGCAACTTTCTTGCATTAGAGTGTTGATAACATTTCACGTTTGTATGATGAGTATTAGTAGCTCCTTTTGAATCAAACTGGATGTCGAAAGTGACACAAATCATCGACTTTTATTCTAATCATGATTCGAAACTGACGAAACTCGATTCGAACGCTGCTTTTAAAATTTCTTAAGCACGGTCACTGCTCCAAGTGTGAGAATATTGGAATCATAGATGGTTTATAGCATCATGACCCAAAAAACAATCTATGTCTCGATAAATGTTTCGTATAGTACCTTGTGTTCCGTTGAAGCCAGACATAAAATAGATTCGTCTGTCGGGATCGGCTGGGTATTCACTCTGAAAAAATAAAATAAAAAGTTTATGTGATAAAGACGGAGGGCTTCATTGGACTGACTAATTGATTGATTTATTTATTTATTTATTTATTTATTATATCATTTTGTAATGATCGTTAATCAAATTCTAATTTTGTGTCTTTGTTTATGTTCATGTTCGGCACCAGCCAATGAGGAGAGCCTCTCGACAGGATTCCCAATCCTTTTAGCCAATCCACAGGCACTGGCTGTTACCCATTATCTTTTCTCTTTATTGTTTCTACTGATGTGTGTGTTAAATTGTATTCTCCTGGATATTAAATGATTGAATGAATTTAAATAAAAGGGGGAGAAATGATAATAGGCACGAAAGCCTTTTGTTTCCGATGATTTTATTTCTCATGCAAAACATGAATAAGTATATTACAAAAAATATACAATGTAACGACAACTAAAACAGAAATAGCAAGAGAAAAGAGGAACTAACTAGAAGCAGAGCTTGTTGCAATATTAGTTCCTCAGATGCTGTTTTTCAATATATCTTGAACAAAGTATACTTAGAAAATCAACAAATTAAAAAAATATGTAACAAAGAAGTTATGAATTTTTGGTGAAAAAATAAAAAAAATTAAAGAGTGGAAAATGGAGAAAAATAGTAGAAGGCAGAAAGAAGGAAAGATAAAAAAGAAAGAAAAAAAGAGAAAAAGACTTACCCCATGGGCATCGTATCCAGGGATGATATAAGCCTCGTACTGGAATAGATTCGTCCTCATCTCAGTCCTTAGGCGATCTAACTTCACATCAGAGATGACCGTGGTTGGTGGATAATACTAGCGGGAGAGAAAGGGGTGTGTACAACACCGAATTCTTTCATGGTTGCATTTGAAAATAATAACAATAATAATAATATCGAAAATAATTTCGCTAGTGACATTTGTTTGTCTCGCAATGTATGGTCAACAAGGGATCAAAGATCACGATGTTTCGTTCGCCGATGCAACACTTCGTCAGGTGATAAAATATAATAATAATAGTAAAACGGTGCTTATAAAGCGCTTTCCATCGAAGTCTCTAAGTGCTAGAAAGGTTATATTCTGAATGGCTGATTATGAAGTTAATTCGGATGAATACACGGTAATATTGAGTTTTGGAAACATCCCAATGAAATTGTATCGTGAGTGACTAAACCTTGCCGCAAATCAAAAATGCCGAACATAAACTTAAGACATAAAAATAAAATAATGAGAGCTTTGAAGTTTTGGGGTTTATGTATAATGGGACAAGGCACACATAATGTGACACCAATTAATATATATATATACGTTTTTCGGATCCAGCCTCTCGTGTGGGACGGGGGGGGGGGGGGTATACAGAGGGCGTTTTATCCGACGTAAATGATTTCAGAATCCATCGGCCCTCCCATGCAAGGCCCCATAATATAGGTGGCGTGAATTTTCTTTAGCCGGGATATAACAATTTTGGTTATGGAAAGCTTAATTTTGTACAAAGTGGGTGTGTGTGTGTTGGGGGGGGGGGGGGGTAGCCGTGGGCGTGTCGTATTGCCTGAACAGGCATGTGTATACAAAATAATACGGATTAAAGGGACAAAGTTTGTTAGGTTTATGTTCCTGACCCATCGAATGATGAGATGGTAACACTTTGAATTTTATAAGAAGGCCTAAAATAGCCAAAAATAATAATTAAAAAAACAAAGGAGAAATTAATGATAATAATGACAATCATAGCGAGCGCAAATGTATCCACCTTTCCAATGAAATGCTATTAATAAAAGAAAATGAATGATAAGAAAGAAAACATAAAACTGCAATCTCACCGGTGGGCTCACATCGCAGTTTCTGACATCGAGAGGTGCTCTCTTCTTCCTCGAGTGAACCTGCCGATCACCAGCTTGGGCGTTGCCAATCAACAGAGCTGTAGCGATCATAATTATTTGGGGGCAAACATTTATGAATTATATTTGTATTAATTTCATGTGTTTACATGACAGTGCTAGTAGTTTGTTCACTACCTTGTACTAGCTTCACCCAACTTTCTTTCTTGTTTCTTGATTTGATTTTGTTTGGCAATCAGTCACAGTTGACTATTTTTTCCACACACTATTTTATGAATTATTTATATATATACATATGTACAATTTCATGTCATTATTTTTTTTAAGGGGGGGGGGGGGTAAGTGTGGTTCTTTAATTCATTTTCTTCATGTGCCTCGATTAAATTCATTTATGATTGACTACATATAGACGAGCACAAAACTTGAGGAGGTGCAAAATTATACAGTACATCAGTACTCTTGAATAGTATAGGCTATATATATATATATATATATATATGACACGAATGATCAATCGTTGATGAGGTCCGCGATCTCTCTCTCTCTCTCTCTCTCTCTTTTTTTTTGGGGGGGGGGGGAGCGGGCTTGTTGGTTCTTGTATTCATTTTCGTACTGTGCCTCGATTAATGAAATAAATTATAATCAGAAGATAATTGGAGGGGGATTGAAGAATTTTGTGTGGGCGTTTGAACCCCAAAGCCCCCTCTATAGAACAGCTACTGAATATGATATGATTGCCAATAAGTCATTAAATACTTAACCTAAGAGCCAAAGTTCAAGTGCATGTTTCTTAAATTGATTACATCCAATTCAATTTCCTAGCATTAGATATGCCATGGGTATACAATATAACTGTTTGAAAACACACATACGCATACAGTACAGACAGTTCATAACATGCACACAAAATGGCGGTATATCCATTTATCATAGAATAACTAGATATATAAGATACTAGACAATCACCAAGAATGATATATATCACTGACTACCTACTGATGATTGTACAGAAGCGTCCATGGCGCCATTAATTAGGGAGAACGTGAATTTAAGAAATGTAATGGTAAAACGGGTTCTTCTTACCTGCGACTGCTACCAAAACCGTGACATGTACCTTCATGGTTGCCATAGTCTTCTTATCAATATAGCCAAAGAAATAATAATCCAGTAAAATAATCCAATATTTTGGTTTTTATTATGAGCCGTTAGTTTCGAGAGGAAAAGACCCTGCTCAACCAATAAGCATACGATGTATAGACACCCGTATGCATAGGCGTGCGTGCGCCGTGCAGTCAAATGTTCAATGTTATTTCAATCTGGTTAATAATTTACAGATAAATAAACAAACCCCGCGAATTTTTGTTTGGGAACGGTTAGGAAGGTGGTACAGCATGTATATCACACTATCTCATATTATGATTCATAGTCTGTACCTATTGAGACAATATTTGATGATAAGCCCTTTTATAATGTCGAGTATTTGTTATGCAGTTCTGTTTTAGTCATTAGGGACTTTTAGATTTGCACGTTGTCAGCTTTGACTGCAACGTGTGACGTCATTTTAAGGCACTGCGCATGCGTTACGACGTCTCAGTCGGCGATCGAGAATGCGTCAACCTTCATTTTCCTAAATCTAGTACATACATACATATTGATATTTATATAGCGCCTTTACATGCTCAAGGTACTAGTATGCCGCGTGCGCATAAAATATACAGTTCCTCAGGTAGACAAAGCCGAAACATCCCTTCCCTGCTATTATGTAAAAATGTGTAGGACAGGTGTCACATGCATATTCACCTGTTCTACACATTTTTACATAATAGCAGTGAAGGGATGTTCTTTTGTTGAGGGTAGAATGAGGAACTGTATATTTTGTCCTCTTTCTTTGTCCGTGATGTTCATAATGTTACTTCCTGCGTGCATGTATATCGTCGAGTGCAATCTAAAAGATTTCTAATTCTCGCTACCCCAAATAGCGATTCTGCCGAGATCCGGGGAAAATCCTGAAAACGCGCATTGCATTATGGGATAGCTTTTCGACATTACAGCTTCCTGTGCAGGCGCTATATTACTAGGCGCGATAGCGCAAACGTAAAACGCCGTCGCCACACAACGTGTATGCACCGAATATGTCGTCTGCTCGGTCTTGTTTTTTTTTCGCAAATATTTCAACGTTTATTTGAACATTTCATTCGTTGTTTTTTGCGTCTTTTGACATCAGTGACGATGTTTTTTTTTTGTGAGGCTGCACTGATTGGCATCGATTTCAGCGTGCGTGAAAACTCTGCACAGCGAACACATGCGCTAGCGCCAGCGGGATGGGACTCTATACCGGAAGTTGTAGTGACGACCCGAGAGAGTGAAAATTACCTCGTCTCGCGAATTTCGAGATTTTCGTACCTATTTAGGGTAGCGAGAATTGTAGTCAACATGGGCAGTTAAGTACGTTGACACGCATGATCATTCGGCGTTCGTCGTGTTCTCGTCCACTCATTCTAAAAGTCCCTATTCAAAAGTGAGAGACACCGGTCGCTTGCTTTTTTAGTGACCGATTTCGGTCAGGGTTGAATAAGAGGAGTGTTTCTGTTTTAGATGTACTGTTTTGCTTTTAACAACTAAATCATTCGTACCCTTACTAAGTTTCATAATTTGTTAAGTATGTGACAAGTTGATTTGTCCTAATTTACGTTTCTTGAGAAAATGACATATTAAAGCTTACCTCTAAAAGTATTCAACAAAGGCCCTAATTTATCTAGTCCACCTATCATTGTTGAGTTTCAAAAACATCACATTTACAATGGGTATGTTTAAGTTTTAACTATACACGTCTTGTTGTGAAATTGGACCGCTTCAAAGATATCCAAAACTATACTCATTACAAAAATTTTGTTGACAATATTGGATTTCGGGTCATGATTATCATAGACGATTTCGTCACCATGGATGATGGTATGTAAACAAATGACGCTGGCTTAGCCCGAGCGAGAAATATCATTCGATGATAACCTTAGTCATAGGCTATAGCTATCAATTTTTCTCAAAACAACCATTTCGTTTAGTGGCTTTTGCAGATTTCGTTCTTACGATCACACATTATGTGCAATTGCTAATTTAAACTAAAAAGAATACATCGTTTACAGGTATTTATATATATATATATATATATTGTCATTTTCTTGATGATCATCAATGTGAAGTATGTTTTGGCATAATGTTACGTGTATCACTTGGCCTCTCGCGTTACACAGAATAGTTATTTTCTCCATTCTTACACATTTTCTGACAGGGGCCTCACTATTTGTAATAATTTGTATAACTTGTATAAAATATGTATGAATTTATGAAATCATGATTCGAACACAGTTCAATAATTTATATATATTTGTGTGAATACATACAATGCTATACACATGTATATAATAAATGAACGTTTTCGTGTCTGTTTCAAGACTGCGTCAATCCATCCGCGGTATTTACCCGAAACATATTAATTAAAGGTCGATAATGAATGACAGAGTTAAATTTATTATTATTATCTTTAGGCAAAAGGATCAAAGTCTCATTAAGATCTATGTCAGTTGTCGTATAAAAAGAATCAACGTGTTTGAACATGAAGCTGGTAACGATGATTCGTTAATTGTTAGAAAATTATCTATCTATCCGTTGAAGTGCTGATAAAATAATCAAGAGATCCAATTACTTTTGTGTAGTGGTTCTGTGGGGTTCTTTGTGTCGTTTGTAATGCATTTGTCTTGATTTTCGACTGAAACCTTTATGTTACCATGGTTATAGCCATGTCTTCTTCATCAGTCTACACGCCTCATCATACTTACACATGTCAACCACATCAGCCTATGTAAAAGTCCGAATCTCTCTCTCTCTCTTCCCTTTCTCTCTCTTTTCTTTCTTTTTCTCTCTATCTCTCTCTTATCTTATTCCCTATCTCTCTTCTCTTTCCTTCTCTCTCTCTCTCTCTCCCCCGGCTCTGTCTGTCTGTCTGTCTCTCTCTCTCTCTCTCTCTCTCTCTGTGACTTATCCCTACACCCCTCTTAACTAATCCATGCGATCATACAACAATATGTCCCATATAGTTTAACCCGAAATGTATATACCTGTCTTTTGCACATCGATTCTTCACGGGTTTAGGGACCTGTTTCATAAAACTAGATATCAATAACAAGTTACGATAATTGTCGTAAGCTGCTGAAATCCTTGCATCTGATTGGCTGTGAGGAGATTTGTCATAGATCTATAGCAGTTGTTATCAATAACAAGTTTTATGAAACAGGGCCATTCAAGGATTATCATCGGATGATATTTCTCTTTATCATTACTAGACATGAAGGAGGCAACCCTCGTAAAGTTTCCCCGTTCGAATGAAAAATAACAATTGTGTGGAATGCAAGAATAACTCACATCTTTCATTCTTTTACTATTTTTTAAATCATGAAAATTGAGGAGTTTATTACAAAAGCCTGAATGGCAACATTTCACTTTTCATTGTATACATATCATTAATGATTCAGGTTTTTTCGACAAGAAATAATGTAGAATGTTCTGAAGAATAAAAAAAAAAAACACTGAAACTATTTATTAAATCTTATAAAGAGTATAAACTTTAAAGGAAGAACGTCACACTCTGTTTTTTAAACATACAGTCCACAATTTCTTTTAAAAGATAAATTAAACAATCTAAAAAAATTCAGGCAATCATTGCTTATTATAAGCTCACACTGAATTGAAGATTAAATGCCATAATTAAAATGATAAAGGCAATTTGTTGATATTAAGAGGTGATTTCATTATATGTTCATATCATTTGCAATGCTAATCAACGTCAATGTGACTAATGTTTCAGAATTTTATGATTGTTAATGAGTTATCATAAATAATTATGATCATGAGATACGCATATCTAATATCATAAAACTCCAAAACAAAGACGAACACAAATGACGCAAAGACTTTCGAAAATCAATCAGTAATATGCAGCAAACTATAAATCATTTCAATTCATTGCTGCAGCGGCATAATCAAATTACTAAACAGGTTACACAAATAACCTAAACTCCAATGATATGGGCAATATTCTAGCTATACATTCCAAAAGCAATGCCCCTGTTCACCAAAATATACAAAATTGATATATTACAAGACCAGTGATATACAGAGATGATAATTTTACAACATACTGGTCCTTTGCATTTTATTAAAAAAACAAGAATAAAGATTGATGAGATAGAATCTATACACCTTGGCACAGCAACATTAGAAAAAAAGAATTCTGTAATTTTCATCGAACTCTGTAAAAGGCAATAAGGAGATAAGGTCCTAAAATTGCGTATGAAAAAGTTCGAATGCGTTTACATACGGAATAGCAATCTGTACAGAAGAATAAGTCAACTTTTCAGCCTGCATGTTTTTTTAATACAAAAATGGAATTCACTGTTGTTTCTATAAAAAGATGAACATGTTTATAAAAAGAGAACACTTATAAATAAAGCAATAATTGTTAAGTACGATTTAGTTATTTCTCAATTGATCATCAAAGTTTCTGGAATAATTTTCCTAAAGCAAAAGTTGTAGATTCTAGGCTAGAAAAACAAAAAATGCGATGGCACAATTCACAAGGCACTAAATACGTGAAGCTGACTGTTGTCGTTTATTGTTTACTATAAGTGAACTATTAACTACAAATATGCTCAAAATTTTATTTTCATGTGCTCAAAATGATACAGACTCAATAAGTATTTTAAAACCAACAGTTTAACATGAACTTAACAGAAGCACCACTATTTTAATAGAATCCGATAGAGGGAGGAGAAAAATATTTTTAACAAACATTAGAAGCGTTATTATACTTCGGACCGCACCCCAACACGACATGGTCCCAAAACGTGTAAACAACCATGCAGTACTCTTCAGATATCATTCTGCATTTTGTCTATGCCTTGTGAGGGCAGTATTCCAAAACGGGGATCAGAGCCATCTACATGCACACAAATAAACACAGAGTTAGGCCAACCCGGTTCTTCTTGGGCACAACATGGCAAATACTGCTATGTTGTGATACCAAGTGAAAGCAAGTTGTCCAAACTCTGGTTATAGATGGCTCTGATGGGAATGTCGTAATTCATAGAGCTTTAGTAGAAAGCATTAGGATCATGCAACTTAACAAAGAAATTATTGCTGATAACAGGAAAAGAACAGAGAGCAATAATTATGTCCTAGTTTGAGAGTGTTTTGTTTGTTTGTTTTGTGCATTATGCCACCAATTTCATTCAACAATAATTATTTCAGTTATATTATGAAAATTATGGAATACATAACTGAATCATAAGATTAATACCAAAAAAAATCAATATATATTCTGACCCCTCACTAAAAAATCTGGTTGACAATTGTTTCCAATCACACATAGAATGAAGAAAAAAAAAACATAATTGATTGTTCCATTTCAACAACTCACAAATTCATTTTTAGTTATCCAGTATAAAATCATTCATAGAAAATCAAACATATGATCAAGAGTATTCCGACACATTCTCCGTGCAACGCAAATTGCTTCGAGCTTTATTTCGTTATGTTGCGGATTATGGCTAGAGTTGCAATTGGGTTTCAGGTTAGATTTAGGTTCCGGGTTTGAGTTAGGTATATACTTTGGTCCAGGAAGAATCCACTTAGTGTCGAATCTGTATGGTTAGACTCACAGTTGCAACTGGGTTTTAGGTTAGATATTAGCTCCGGGTTGAAATTAAGAATTCACTTAAGTGTCTGATCTGTACGGTCAGGCTCACAGTTGCACCTTTGGGTTTAGGATTAGGTCCAGGGTTGAAATTAAAACTTCTCTTTAAAGGCCTGTTTTCATCAGCTCGAGTATACCAAATAACTCGCTATTTTAACTATCCCGATAGCAAATTAGTGAGTTAATTTGCGTCTTCATCAGCCCGCAGTTGCAATTAGCGGGATATTTAGTCAAGAAAATATCCCGAGAAATGTTGGTCTTGTTTTAAAAATATCCCGTTATTCGGGAAATTTGCACCGGTCAGTGCTAGTTTGGGATGAGCGTATCGGTCTGAAAATGGCGGGTTACTTGGCAAACTCGAGCTGATGAGGACAGACTCTAGAGTCTCTGATCTTGACCGCTTAGCAATCGTTGTCGCAGAAGCATGTGTCGTACAATCGAAAAAGAACTCTCCAACGTGATTAAGATATCTACAACAATAGAACTGACGTTATGAAAGAGACTAGGGAAACTATGAAGGCTGTGGTCGTCATCGAAATCGTCGACGCCCCACCTTTGAATTCCCACTTGTACTTCTGAAATCTCGTTCTCCTTTTCATCCATTTCAGAGCTGTACCGGAGAGAACGCCGCTCATTTTCTCGCGGATTTGTGCGTTGTAGTCGTTGTACCAGTCAAGCTAATAAAAGAAATGATTCAGTTGGTAAGTCATAATTTTTCTGCACCATTTAGAAAATCCCCAGCGTATTTAAAAGGAGGGGCATACAGGGGCGGATCTAGCTTTTTGCTAAGGGGGGGGGGTTTGACCAAAATAATGACGATGCGGAGCATCGTCCACGAGCCGCGAAGCGGCGAGCCGATTTTTTTGGGGGTGTTTATTTGAACCCCGTAAGTGATGTTTTCCTGGCATCTATTAACACAATGGAGACCATAAAAAGCAGTGCATGATAACGTCTTTTTAAATCAAGTAACAGTTTAATACATAGTTATATCCAGAGTTATCATGTGTTTGGTTAAGTTACCAGATGAGTTGAATATCTTCTCACAATATTTGCACTTGAAAGGGTTTCTCTCCAGCGTGCGTTCTTTTTTCTTTCTTTTTTTCTTTCTTTTTTCTTTTTTTTTCCTTTTTTTTTTTTTTTTTTTTTTTTTTTGGGGGGGGGGGGCCGCCCAAGGGGGGTTGCAACCCCCCCAACCCCCCCTCTAGATCCGCTTCTGGCATAGAATGCAGTCTGCCTCCTCCTGATAGATTTCCAATTAAGAAAGGGAAATACAACCACTCGTAACTGTCACGTTGGGGAATCAGTCTAAGTAGTAACAAAAAATGCATGAAATATAATTATTTTCTTCTTCAAGTCATTTGGGTGATTTCTTCACTATCGGAGACCATCGCCCCAAAAGATTTTTTCCTTGTTACAGGTATATAGGTACCAGGATGTTGGGATGTTTTGCCCCTCCAGAGACCATGTTCTAGATACGCTACTGCTTAAGTCCTTATATATAATACATGTCACCAGAATGATAACATTAAGAGTGTTTATTTGCATTTTTGAGGGGTGTATTTTGAGCATCATCATGGGATTATATAAAAATGAAAGGAAGCAATTTCAACTTAATCAATTCACCATTACCATTGTCACCAATGTCACTATCATCATCATGATCAGCATGATTACCATTAACTTCTCAATTAGCATCATCATAATCATCACCATCATTATCATCATCATCTTCATCACCATCATCACCATCATCATCATCATCATCATTATCACCATCATCATCATCATCATCACCATCATCATCATCATCATCATCATCACCATCATCATCATCATCATCAATCATCATCATCATCATCATCATCATCATCATCATCATCATCATCATCAATCATCATCATCATCATCATCATCATCATCATCATCATCATCAATCATCATCATCAGCAGCAGCAGCAGCAGCAGCATCAGCATCAATCATCATCACCATCATCATCATCATCATCATCATCATCATCATCATCATCATCATCAATCATCATCATCAGCAGCAGCAGCAGCATCAGCATCATCATCAGTTCACCATCATCATTATCATTAACCGCCAACATCACCAGAAGAAACAACAATTCACATTTGTTGTCACCATAATTATAACAAAGTTGTGTCGTTGTAACACTCCTGTAATCACCATCAACATCGCAATCCTCATGATCAACATCTCCATCATGACTTATAAATCTAACATCTTTTATAATGAAACTATCGTCTCACAAAGAATGTTATTGTAATTACCTTGAATACAACGGACAATTCTTTCAAAAACAATACAGGGAGGAGTATGGCCTCATTCAGGCTCACGACTATTTTATTTTCCAATCTCAACTTTTGAAACTATAAGAATAATTAGATCTAAAAAAATAAAATGAGAATTACCTGTTTTCTCGTGAAGTACTCAAAGGTGATCAGCCTGGGCTCAAAGGGTACAAAGGTCACCGTCTCAAATTCGAGAAACTGAACGTCATCACTTAGATCCTCGTTCAGGTAATCATACTAAAAAGGCAAACAAATGGCTCAGATTAAATATAAGTGGGGGGGGGGGGGGGGAGGAGAGAGGGGGATTGGGTAGATTTTATTTACTTTGTCAGTAGATATATTTGAGCAGGCTTTTTTTCAAAATAAGCACTATGAACATGACGGACAAAGAAAGCGGACAAAATATACAGTTCCTCATTCTACCCTCAACAATTGCTGTGGTAGACAAAGAAACATCCCTTCACTGCTATCGTGTAAAATGTGTAAAAATGTGTAGAACAGGTGAATGTGCATGTGACACCTGTTCTACAGATTTTTACATAATAGCAGTGAAGGGATGTTCCTTTGTCTACCATAGCAATTGTTGAGGGTAGAACGAGGAACTGTATATGTTGTCCTCTATCTTTGTCCGTCATATTCATAGTGAAGGCTATTAGAATTAAGAAGGTTTAACAGATAATGGAAATAGAACCCAAAAAGTCCAATGAGAAGGAGATACAGAAGGAGAGGAACGTGTCATAGAGAGGAACATGTCATAGAGAGAGAGAGAGAGAGTGAGAGAATATATGTGTGTGTGTGTGTGTGTGTGTGTGTGTGACAGAGAGAGAGAGGGAGCAAGAAGGAGAACACAAAATGAAAAAAAAAAAAAATGTGATTGAAAATTCAGATGGGTGCAATGAGAAGTAGAGACAAAAAGAAGAGAAGTAGGATACTAAAGAAAAGAGATGGAGGGAAGAAGAAGATACAGATAGAGAGAGAGAGAGAGAGAGAGAGGGAGAGAGAGAGAGAGAGAAAAGAGATAGAAGAAAGAGGAAAGGAAATAGAATGAATGTAAACATTTCTTACAGGTCTTCGGGTGACGGGTTTGGCATAGAGAACGTTGCTGACACGAGCACCGAAGTCACTCTCCCTGTCATTGTCAGGATTGCGATAATAGAAGCCCGGACCTATGTTTGAATGAATGAATGTAAAAAGAAATATTAAAATGAATGAATGAATGGATGAATGGATAAATGAATGAATGAATGAATGAATGAATGTATGGATGAATGGATGAATGGATGGATAAATGATTGAATGCATGTACAAATTCAATTCAAGACTTTGTTCCAGACTCAGCTGCAAGAGCAGGTCCATATAACATATTAAATGAACGGATGAATGCGTAAAAGATGAATAGAGGGATAGATAGATGGATGAACGAATGGATGGATACATGAATGAATGACTAAATGAATGCATGTGATGAACGTATGGGTGGATGGATTAATGGATGAGTAAACGAACAAATAAATGAAAATATTAATGAATGAACGTAAGAATGAATGATTGAATGTATGAATGAATGAATGAAATGTATTACCAAATCTTGATCATAACACAGTACACATTGAAAATACAATTCTTGATATCAGAATAATAATTATAATATATCCCCTTTCTGTCTGTCTGCGTCTATGTCTCTGTCTGTCTGTCTATCTCTCTCTCTATTATGTCTTTCTTTGTGCTATCTCTTTGTTTCTGTAGTTCTAATAATGCTTCTTTCACCAATCTTTATCATTTTCACGTTCTCGTTCTTTATCAGTCTCAATATTTTACTGTCTAAACTGGAAAGTGGAAACATCTGTTAACAATTCAATTCATCATAAATACCTGCAGAGACGAACATGCTGCGATTAAATGGCTGCTCATCGACACTGAATCCAGAATGGATAAATACAGGACCTGAAAAAAAGGAAAATAGTAAATAAAAACATCTTTTCCCCATGTAAATAAAAAAATAAAATTACCCTTTACACATCTCCTTCCAGGAGGTACGTACGCGTATATAATGTAGAGCTATATTTTATGATCCCATAGATGCATCATTTTTACCCTCGAACTGAAATTACATTTGACATTTAAAAAATAATCTATATATACCTTCATGAGCGGTGAGATACTGTCCCACACCGTAGCCGGTCGGGTGAAAGTAGTCCAGGCCTACGTCCCACAGGTATTGCCGGGCAATGGCATCCAGATCACGCCCTGAGAAAGGTCAAAGAGAAAATGAGCAGTCAGCCACAGGGACGGATCCACGGGGGGGGGGGGGGGCAGACGGGCCCGGGGCCCTCCTACCCCCTGGCCAAAAAACAGGTATAAAAATGATAGTAACGTAAATCTTATCTTAAAAAAAAAAAAAAAAAAAAAAAAAATCAAAAAAAAAAAAAAAAAATCGCATTTGGGGCCATGGGGGGGGGGGGGGGCCATGGCCCCAAAAAGTAACAAATGCGATTTTTAAAAAAAAATTTGCTCGAGGGGGGAGGGGGTGTTAAAAAAAAGGAGTGTTCACTCCAACACCCCAATTGAGCAACAACAAAAATTAGTGCTACCTGTTTTAAATCGTGTTTGTAAATTTGACAATCTGATGATCATTATGAAAGAATTGTTATTCTCACTGAAATTATTTTGTCGATTGATTTAATCAGAAAGAAGATTATTTGAACATAAATTTAAACAAATTTAAACTCTCAGGCATAAACAAAAAGTTGAAATTGCAAAAAAGTGGATATTCCATATCTAAAAACAGTTGGCATATAGAAAGTAAGTTTACCGTATACATTTGTGTGGAATTTCGCCATGGACAGATCAATGAGACCCAGTACAATACGAGTGTACACCTCCTGTAAAACAAATAAACAAAATAAAGTGGTATTAGTCTATCGCAAATACTATTTTTTTACATAAAAAGCCACCACCTAAAACATAAATCTATACAGAAAGACATTTAGAAATAAATGTACAAGTATAAGAACTTTTTAATCTAATTTCCATGAATATAATCAACTTTTTTTGAGCAAAAAATAAATTTATCCTCTACATTAGTTTGCACATCCTTACGAAATATAGATAAAAGGCCGATGTCCAAAGCGGTCAAGTTGACCAACCCAACTAGCCACCCCCTCCTCGTCCACTGAAAACTAATCGCAAAATATCTCAGAAAAATATTTTCAAAGTTTAATCGAAAGCCTCTAGTCATTCTAATATGGGATTTTTTTTTGTAATCGTCTCTCATTCATTCTTTTCTCTAATCAGTTGAACAAGGAAAATTGAAATAAGCTTTTGTCCTTTTAATAGCGGATCATTGATAAATCAGAAAGAGTCAGGGCAGCTGAGGTATTTAATTTGTTTCTAGTTCGTCGTGACTGTGCCATGGACTAGTGATGGCCTGGTGGTAGAGAGTTGCTGCCCCGCAAGCAGTAGATGGCAGGTTCAAATCCCGCTGGTTCCAAGTTTGTTCTGATCTGTTTTCTGATCTCCACCCAGGTGTAAATGGGTACCTGATATGCTTGAGCGCTAGTTACTTTGGCAGCTCGGCTATGACCAGTGCCCAGTGACGGTAAAAATATGTAAAGCGCCATGAGCGTCAGAGCCTGGCGGATACAGGCGCTATATAAATATCCATATTATTATTTATTATCATTTACCTGCTGAAATTCAGTTGGCCTTGCAGGATCATAAGTGCGATCAAACTCATAACGGTTCTCATTCTCCTCATACCATTCCTTGGCAAAGAAGAAGGTTCGGGCGAGGGTAGTCGTCCCTTCTCTGCCAAAGAGAAAATTAAATCGTTGAATAAGATATATCAATATGTTATTAATTGATTATTATACCCCCTCCTCTCTTTCTCTCTGCCCCCTGAGCCTTCTCTAATGTTTCCATGTGTCCTCATTTTCTCCGATCTATGTGTATGTTTTTTTCACTTCCCTCTCCCCCTTTCTCTATCTGTCTCTCCTTTTAATATGTGTATGTTTCCTTTACTCTCTCTCTCTCTCTCTCTCTCTCTCTCTCTTTCTCTCTCTATCTATCTATTTCTCCCTCTTTCTTTCTCTCTCTCTCTTTCTCTGTCAAGAAATTTAATTAATCGAATATCATATCCATTTTCATATCCATATCCACATGTGACAAAAAAGATTAGTTAAGCTAATGGTAATTTGATGAATAATATTATAATTACGATTAAAGTACTCACCAGAAAAAAATTCACTACAATTGATAATTATGGACAAATTATATATGGATGGAAAGATTTTCTCTTGAAAACCACGAAGAATTTGCTGAGAAATCATATAGATATCATGGAAAGGTATACAATGCTTTGTGGCTAGCTGTGTCTCGCATGTGACCATGTGACGTCACGAAACTTGAGGCTCTGCGGAGGACCGCTGAAGGCAGAAAATCTGGATCTCAAAATTAACATTTTTGAGAGATGATTACTACGGGCCCCCAAACATATTTTGAAAAGGAAAGTTGTTATATTTGATCAGTAAGGCTTCCCCTTCGCAATGATGTGCATTTTGCATCCATTCAAAACACGTTCGATTCTTCGGGTGACTACTTTTAAAGGAAATCATTTCAGAAGGGAACAATTCTTACCTATACTGTCCTCCCATATCATACAGGAACATTTTGCCGGTAGGTATGGCAAACCGGTCATCCTCTATAGGGCTACGAAAAGAAGAGAGAAACATAATCTTAATAATAACATCATCATCATCCTCATAATTATTATCATTTTGTTTCATATCCACCCTGCAAAATGATCAAATATCAACAATTTACGTGACCCATTTAGGCATATAAATATTGACGCACTTACTGGTAATAATAGTCGGCACTGTGATAACCTACGGCGGCTATCGTCTCGTAACTCGGGTACTGATAACTGCTATGTGATCTGCATATAAAGAAAGAAACAAAATAAAACATGTCAATGTCGGAAACGAAGAGACTACTTCACCTGAATAGTTAAATTTGAGTGTAAATATATTGTTGGCAGAACCTAACGTCAATTTCGATTTCATTATTTTACTTATGGTCCTCTTGAGGAATGTCTGATTTTTTTTCTTTTGCAGAAGTCGATTGCGCTTCCATTTGGGTTGGAGTATATGCGCTTGCTGATTAGCAGTCTTGAGACTCTTGTCAAATAATTTTTTTCCCGTCTCCTCCTCCTCCTCCTTCTTCTTCTTCTTCTTCTTCTTCTTCTTCTTCTTCTTCTCCTTCTTCTTCTTCTTCTTCTTCTTCTTCTTCCTCTTCCTCTTCCTCTTCCTCTTTTTCTTTTTCTTCTTCTTCTTCTTCTTCTTCTTCTTCTTCTTCTTTTTCTTCTTCTTCCTCTTCCTCTTCCTCTTCCTCTTCTTCCTCTTCTTCTTCTTCTTCTTCTTCTTCCTCTTCTTCTTCCTCTTCCTCTTCCTCTTCCTCTTCCTCTTCCTCTTCTTCTTCTTCTTTTTCTTCTTCTTCTTCTTCTTCTTCTTCTTCTTCTTCTTCTTCTTCCTCTTCTTCTTCCTCTTCCTCTTCCTCTTCCTCTTTTTCTTTTTCTTCTTCTTCTTCTTCTTCTTCTTCTTCTTCTTCTTTTTCTTCTTCTTCCTCTTCCTCTTCCTCTTCCTCTTCTTCCTCTTCTTCTTCTTCTTCTTCTTCTTCTTCTTCTTCTTCTTCTTCTTCTTCTTCTTCTTCTTCTCCTCCTCCTCTCCTCCTCCTCCTCCTCCTCCTCCTCCTCCTCCTCTTCTTCTTCTTGCATTATCTTTTTACACATTTTGCACTAATCTGAGAGTAAGTCAACCTTCGTCTTATCGGATAAAGTCTTTTTTCCTTCATCTTTTCGCAGACAGTGTTCAAGCTATACAAGGTGTTGAGTTCCGATATTTTTTATCAGTAACTTTTACTTTATCGGCACGTAAAAATGACTTACTCTCTGAATGTTTCAGTCTTCTGAGCAACCAGCCATTCCGTCAACGATCGATCGTCTCCTTCTTTTGGATCCTAAAAAGAAGAGGATGAGGGAAATCGTAAAAAAGTCCGAAATTGTGGAAACTGAAATATTAAACTATCAAATCTGCTTTTCATATTCAAATGTATTCAACGGTACTGGACGTCAATCCCTGAGCTTTTTTTTTCGTTCTGTAATCGAATTCAAACGAAACACTTGAAACCAGTTGATATATTGGGTCTTATGTATTCAGGGTAGCCACAACAGTATTAATGGGCCCACTGCTCGTCCTGAAGGCCCTAAATTACTGATACCCAAACGAGTGCCAGGTACCCGTTTACACCTGAGTGGAGAGTGACAAATATGGATTAATGTCTTCTTCGGATTCGAACCTCTATCCTTGGATCAGAGTCAATTGAATGAACCAATATACCATGACACCTCCATAGTTCGAGTTGGATTGTAGTACACATTAACGGCGCCCTCAATTTTCATTACCTAACATTTAATGTCAGGTACCCATTTACACCTGGGTGGAGAGTGGCAAAAGTGGATTAATGTCTTGCTGGAAGACAATCGAATGGACCACTCACTATGAATATGACTGACAAAGAAAGCGGACAAAATATACCGTTCCTCAGGTAGACAAAGGAACATCCCTTCACGGCTATTATGTAAAAATGTGTAGAACAGGTGTCACATGCATATTCAACTTTTTACATAATAGCAGTGAAGGGATGTTCCTTTGTCTACTTGAGGAACTGTATATTTTGTCCGCTTTCTTTGTCTGTCATGTTCATAGTGACTATACCACGACACTAACATAGTTCGGGTTGGATTGTAGTACACATTAACGGTGCCCTCAATTATTATTTACGTCCAACAATTGCCAGGTACCCATTTAAAAGTAGATGGAGACTGGCAAATGTTGGATTGTAGTACACATCAACGACGCCAGTTTTTAAATGACGGTGTAAAGGTCTGAACAAATATCAGACAATGTCAAAGGCAGTGGAGAATTGTTAATAAAAATAAAAACTTACAACCATATTCTGGAGCAAATCATCCATCCAAGCGGCTACCTCTATCGCCGTCACTGAATCCGCAATCTGATTGTTAAAAAAAAATGAAAGAGATATACCGTGACACACCATTTGGTATAAAACAAAAATACAAACTCACTTCGATCATGAGTTTTAGTAGCACATGGATTTTTATCTGAACGTGATTCATCAATTTCAAAATATCATATCAAATAAATTATCTCCTATTTATCTATCGTCAGCGACAAAGAAATGTGGAAGCAACTGCTTTGAATGTTAATATGGTTTGATATATTCAGTTGAAATCGTCATCTGGTGTGAAATTGTATGAAAACATTTGTTCGATTTTAACTCCAGTGAACCTTTCCATAAAAGGTACTGCGCAATTTTTAACGCAAATTACAATCAATAAAAACTATCGTATTATATTGGCCGACCAAACTCGGCATTAACGGTAATCAAGCTTAAATCTGATTGGCCGCTTTCATTAGCGTTGGCATAATAGCGTTTGATCACAATTTCTAAAGTAAAATGACTCCTACATAAAAAGTTGCGATACAGCTCGCCTCCACAAACTACATTTAACTTGATTTTAAACAATCAGAACCATCCTTTTAAAGGCGTCGCGTTTGATCGTATTTCCAAAGCAACTTCAGAAGCCATTTTCTTTCTAGCAAATCATCAAAATCAACTTACGAATGCCTGGTTCATCGCCTCCACTTCGACGTCATTTTTGACAGCTTTCATGAGCAGGACGGGAGAGGGCTCCATGATGTATTTACTCTGTTATAAAATAAAACAATTAGACAATCTGATATTAGATGCTGCTTATAAGCATCGGCTTGCATGGTGATGCAGATATACAGTGGGCTAAGCTCAAGAAAGATTACCAACAGTCTTTTTCAAGACTACCAACAGTCCTTTTCAGGACTACACACATGCACACACTCAAGAAAGAAAGATTAACGACAGTCCTTTTCAGGACTCCCCAATCCTCCCCCTCTGATATAAGTATATTTATTTGTTTCCTTCCACCTGTTCATGTAAACAATCAAGATCATATGCGGATCGGGGGCGGTACCCTATTAAAACAATTTTTTAAATGGCAAAGCAATTTTTCTATTTCCCAGGGAGGGGGGGGGGGGGTCTTTTCAGCCCTCTTACAGGTCTCGAGAGTTCTTGAAGTCATAATTCTCTGAAATATAATTTCTGGTATTGTTTCGCTTTAGCAACAAAATACTCAATATTTTCAGTAAAGCATAAGCGAGTGCTGCTAACGTCTTAAGAATAACCTTATACGCTTTTTAATGAACTGAAATGGGTTCTGTATATACAAAACAATTTTCGTTGTATTTCTTTCAGAGAAATAAAGACATTCACTATTGATGTAAACTCATTTTTATCTTTTGTTTTGTTTTTAATCAACCAATATGCCACAGCATAGATTTATTTTAATTATTTTTTTTGGCTCTTTTTAAAGTGTAATTTGAATAAAATATTCCATTTAAAGAAAAAAAATGAAGTAACAAACAAAGACACAAATTAATAAAGAAAGAAAGAAAGAAAGAAAGACCGACCGACAGACAGACAGAAAGAAAGAAAGATTATCTTACCCTATCATTGTTGACATCAGGCCTCTCAGTGATAGTTTTATAGACGAAGTAGTTAGATGAGTTACTAAACCAGACCTTCTTACTAAACGACACGGTACTGAGATCATCGGTGAAGGCTGATAAATCCCTAGCTCTCAAACAAGTAGTCGGGAACGAAGCTGAAAAGAAAGGAGTTTCCTTGTGTTAAAGGCCGTCGGTACTAGTTTGGCTAGGAGGGATTAGACCACCCAGGATGGTCACTGACAGGTGGCTATCTCATCAACTCAGCTCTCAATTAACATAAGAAAAAGCGGATCATGGGGAACCAATGGTCACCGATTAGGCATGTTTTCTATATAGAGGGAGCAAGTAGCTACATTTAGTACAGTGGGGCTTTAAGTGAACTTATTTCAATGGTTTAATGCTTTAGATTTCATTTTTGCTCTTCAAGCAAGTAGTCGAAAAAGAAGCTGAAAAGAAAGGAGTTTCCTTGCGTGAAGTAAAACTATTTAAATGGTTTCATGATTTAGATTTGTTTTCCTCTTAAGCAAGTATAGTCGGAGAAGAAGTTGAAATGAAAGAAGATTCCTCGTATGAAATTATTTCAATGGTATTATGCTGTAGATAGTTTAAAAAGCACAATGTTTTTTTACAGTATTTCTGTAGTGCCTTATAACTTGCTCAATGGCTCCAAAACGAATGGGAAAGTTGATTTCCTCATGTTCTTACTACAAAATATATGTCTATCACCTAATCATTCTTTTTTAAAGGCCCACTGCACTACTGGTAGCTACTTGCGCCCTCTATATAACAAACAATGCCTAATCGGTGACCATTGGTCCCCCATTATCCTCTTTTTCTTATGTTAACTGAGAGCTGAGTTGATGAGATAACCACCTGTCCAGTGACCTTGCAGGGCGCTCTAATCCCTCCTGTAAACTATGGCAGATAAGCTTTAAGCCGCAATCATCATTTAGTCTAACTGAAAAAAGGTTCAGATATCACCCTCAAACAGCAGACCTATTAAAACCTTTTTTTCAAAGGAGAAAGAAAAAACTTAAGAAATTCGTAAAACTAAAAAATACATAGAATTGAAATCATTTTCAAACGTTTTTCTTTTCCATTAATGCTTTTACCGTTACAGAGATTTTAAAACAATTTCTTGGGAAATTAGAATGATGATGAATGATGCAACTTGTATGAGCTCGCAATGGAAAGACAACAATTGTCTTTTGCCAAACGAATATTAAACTTGTTTAAACATATTTGTGGCTTACACCCAGTAAATAAGATCGATTGATCGATATGTAATTTAAAACAAGTCAGAAAAAAATCTTTAGAACCAGCGGGATTTGAATCTGCCATCTACTGCTTGCCGGGCAGCGACTCACTGGTCCATGACACGATCACGATGAACAATAAACAAATACCCAAGCTCTCTTGATTTATTCTGACTTATTCATATTCATTAGTCCGCCGCGGCGCGCCGTTGAGACAATAACTTTTCAATTACAGATCGGTCAATCGATCTTATTTGCTGGGTGTAAGCCACAAATATGTTTAAACAATTGAACTTTCTCCCAGGAAGCATAACATTCATAAAATATTAAACGTGTTTGTCATTTTATATGCAAAACACTATATATTCTCTGCGAAATACAAAAGGGAACGGCTATCTTTGAATTCTTTTGAGAAAATGCTTAAATGTTGTTATGAAGTTGATTTTTTTTCTTTCTATCAAACGCAATAAATTAGTTGTATTACCGGTACTTGATAAATGGAGACATGTGCAACTGATGTAACAATGTTTGTTTTACTGATATGTCACAACATGTACTTTATTCAAATCTATTGTTTTGTTCTTGCTCAAGAATAATTGAATAAAAAATTTCTTTGGAAAAAAAGAAAATGTTTGTAACTCACTGTAGCTTGAGCACCTAGACGAGTCCAGCTCCAAATGTTCTCTCAGGTCCGAATATCTCTCCGTGTCCAACCGGCGGCTAGCATCGTAGAGGTATAGGCTGTAAGAGGAACAAATGACAGTGAAGGAGGCGCGATGGCTTAGTGGTAGAGCAGTGGTCTCGTAACCGGGAGGTCCCAGGTTCGAAACCAAGTCGATGCGCTAATGTGCCTTTTGGTTGTTAATCCTTTTTAATCCTTGTTTACCAATTATTATAGCCGCATTTAAATAACTTATCGACGATATCAAACGACATGAAGAGAGTTGAGTCTCTAGGAAGGGACTTGAAGGATGTCTTTCCCTCTTTTGTCTCCCCTCAAAAAACAATTATGGTCGATGTGCCCCTAGGAAGGAACTTATGTATTGAAATATATAAAACAAAAACAATCACAAACCCAAAACAATCGCGTATAGATATTAGAAACGTCTTGGTTGAAATAATGGGGTAGCATTGGTTCGGGCACGGAAGGGGCACTGGTGCCAGGAAGCTGGGGGCACCGATGTTAATTCATGGATGAAATGCCCCAAAGCAAGTCATTGTGTAAGGCGAGTCTCCATTGCTCTTGCTCTTGATCTCTCTCTCTCTCTAACGTTCTATCCCTCTCTCCCCTTTAGAAATAAAAAAAAAATCAATAATGGACAATGCGCCCCTCTTTAAGCTACGTCTCTGTATTGTAACACTTACTTGATGTACTGGGTCCCGACGATAGCAAACGATATAAAGAGAGGGTTGTATGGAATATCTTCTCCACGTAAATTCAATAGCCCTGAAATGAATGGTAGGAAAATGAGAGGTAGAGAATTAATTTCATGTAAAATCTATTTCTTTAAAATTAGCTCTGTATCATTTTTTGTTTTCATTTTGGCCACTACACAGACTAAATTAATAAAACGGAAGGAAAAGGAGAGATAGAGAATTACTATCATGTGAAATCTATTCCTTCATAATTAGCGCTGTATTATTTTGGTTTTCTTTCACATATCAACAATGAGCAACACGGCATGTAATATTCATCTTTCGTTTAACAAAGCAAATATTTTTACAAAGCAAATATATAACAAACAAGGGAAACGCTCTCGGCGGTCTCGCCTGCATTACGCAATTCGATATGATGAAAAATTGAGGTTGGAACATTTTTTTATAGGCAGGGTGGCCCATTAGCAGACCCCCCAAAATGAAATCCTCTAAATATAATCACATTTTGAAGTGAATATTGACTAAGAATCATCAGAAGAATTATTTACTATTAAATATACCACGATCGATAAACTTGAATGAAATACATGAACAAATTAATAATTGCTTAACTTAGTGACCTGAAATACTACTCTAATGATTGGGGATACTTGATAACCCATAGTCCAAGTTTCATTGACTAAGAACTTATACTTTCAAAATTATATCAACAATTCAAAAACTTAACCTTGGGTTAAGTTTTTGATGATGATGCCACAACATAGTACAAGTCTGTTGACCTGAAATGACCTTTGACCTTGACTTTGTGACTTGAAATTCTACTCACATGATTGGGGATACTTGATAACCCTATAGTTTAAGTTTCATTGACTAAGAACTTATACTTTCAAAATTATATCAAAAATTCAAAAATTCAAAAACTTAACCTTAGGTTAAGTTTTTGATGTTGACGCGGTCGCCGCCGTCGCCGCCGCCGTCACCGTCACCGTCACCGGAAAAGCGACGCCTATGTCTCGCTTTTTGCTACGCAGGCGAGACAATAAAATCATTTCTGGTTTGAGCCGATTAAACAGTTGTACAGACAAGTTTCTTATCTTGATGGATATACTGTACATGAACAATATTTAACTTTTGGACGACCGAAAATCAGTTATTTTCTTCCATCAATGAAATCGTACCCATCATGATGAAAATCATAAAACGAGATATGATTTATATGGCAGAGTTTTGTTGAAGGTAAACCGGGCTATGATAGACGGAAAATAATAATTATAGTTCACATAATAATTAAGGGAACAAAAGAGAATTCATGCTTCTCACGCTTCACATAGATCGTCAACACTTGGATTTCCAGCAAGAAATCCTTCTTTAAAAATGAAATAAAGATTTAGAATGTATAATCACATTAAAAATCATAACATCATCTTAGATTTAAAATGGAGAAGGTATAACGTTTGTAACAGCGAATTTGAGAAGACTTACAGGCGATTTCATCGAGCCTAGTAAGGATGAGTAGATCGACATCCTTTTCGTCCATGAGTTCTCGAAGATTCTTGAAGTAGAGGATCGGGTTTCCCAGTGAGGTCTGACGACGGCGGTATATCTTGTCCTGCCAGTCGTAACCTAGGAAATAAACGGAAAGGGTAACAAGTTATAAGGGAATGATAAAGATGAGGTTAAATTGGTATTACTACTACTACTACTACTACTACTACTACTACTGCTACTACTACTACTACTACTACTACTACTACTACTACTGCTACTACTACTTCTACTACTACTACTACTACTACTACTACTACTACTACTGCTACTACTACTACTACTACTACTACTACTACTTCTACTACTACTACTGCTACTACTACTACTACTACTACTACTACTACTTCTACTACTACTATTAGTCTACTACTTCTACAATACTACTACTTCTACTTTACTACTGCTACTACTACTACTCTACTACTGCTACTACTTATATTAATAATTATAATAATGATGATGATGATGATAGTGGTGATGATAATAATAATAACAATAATAATAATAATAGGATAATAGGATCATAATAACAATAATGCGCTTTACAATTACATTATTAACCAAAGGGTCAGTTTTGAGATAATATAGTGTGAAGGTATTAAAGGATTGCTGGTTTCGAAGAAATCTGGGTATGTTAATCCACAATCAAATAGAAGCAATTATTAGACGACATTTTTTGACAAAAAGAGAACGTCCCCATGGTGATCATATTATTAATAAAATACTCGCACCCTGTTCATGGTCGACACCTAAAATTATTGCCCGCACCATCCAATAAACGGAAGCTGCACAGTACACACTATGAACATGACTGACAAAGAAAGCGGACACAATAATTATACAGTTCCCCAGGTAGACAAAGGAACATCCCTTCACTGCTATTATGTAAAAATGTGTAGAACAGGTGTCACATGCATATTCACCTTTTTACATAATAGCAGTGAAGGGATGTTCCTTTGTCTACCTGAGGAACTGTATATTTTGTCCGCTTTCTTTGTTAGTCATATTCATAGTGACATGATACACACTGAAGAGGAAAAGAAACAGCGCCATCTAATCATCAGTGATGAACAAAAAAAACAAAAACAAGCGCAGCATGCAGGAAGAAATAATATTTTTAGATTGGTCAGCCTTAAAAACCCAACAACAACAACAACAACAACATAAAAAAGTACTTCCCAAGTTAAACGCACTTACCTGCATACAGCTCCTTGTCCTGTACGTAGATCTCCCGTCCAGGGTAGGTCAATCCATAGGGGTTGAATTGGTCCAGGGGATCTCTTCCTGGGTCACTACCATCCTGGTTCACCACCCCTTCCCGACCCGCAAGCTCTATACGGACCCGGTCGACCAGGTTGGTCTTACGCTCCTCGACCGTCAGAGAGGAGTCAACCAGGGGCGTCTCCTGGAGGCTGACGGAGCGGGGCTCCAGGCGGTCGGTCTGCTGGAGCTCGTACCAGTAACCTGCAGGGTAGTGGTGGGTGAGTGGTATTGTTACTCAGAGGAGTGAAAGAAATGGTAGTGAAACATGGACTTTTTAGCCTACGATACTACAAAGCATATGGAAAGTTGGGAAATGTGATTTTTAAGAAGATTGATGAAAATCCCTTGGACTGACAAAGTTAGTAGGTAATGAGGAAGTACTTGGAAGAGCTGGAGTGCAAAGGAAAATGATACGTGAGATGTTGATTAGGCAGTTGAAGTTCATGTATCACATTAGATGTAACGAAGGCCTAGAGAGTCTTGCTTTGACAGGGAAAACTGTGGGAAGGAGGAGTAGGGGAAGAAGGAGGGTACTTTGGATGGACAGTCTGCAAAAATTGTTAGAAGAGAGAGGAGTGAAAGAACTGGGAGTGGTGCTAATAGAGAAGGCTAGGAGCCGAGGGTTGTGGAACAGCATGATCGCCAAAGTCAATCGCTATGGCACGTAGAGAGAGAGAAAGAGAGAGAGAGAGAGAGAGACAGTGGATGGGTGGCTTTGTTATTAAGAAGAGTGAGAGAAATGGAGGATATCAGATTCCAGAGAAGACAACGTCGTGTGCCTTTGTTTGGGATTGTTTACGAATTTCTTTCTAGAGGTTGAATTCTATAATCTACAATTAACTGCTTTGTCAAACTACTTTTCAATGCGACATTTTTGAGCACATTTAACTAAAAAATATCGCGCATGAATGAAATTCTTTTCAAGAGGGTCTTTGAAATACAAGTAGATCAGCATTGTCACTGTACTGCACCATGTCAAAATGGGAGGTGTCGGACTACAATTTGATGACAGGGGCATATTTTTGTTAGATTAGATTTGATGATGATGATGCACAGCATTTATCTGCCGCCATACTTTCGTTAAAAAAAAAAAGAAAGGCGCATGCTTATCTAATAAAATTAGTATATACCTATCCATTGAAATTGAGGCATAATTTAAAGTATTCTAGATTGTCGATATCACGCATCAATTTTTAAAGTTTGATGATGATGATGATGCACAGAATTTATGGCGTAATTTCTGTTAAAGGCATCATTTAACAACGTTAAATCGGAATTGCACGGCCCTACCTGTTATCAGTGTCTGTGATTTGGTGTAATATTGAAGCCCTAAATAAGTTGCACTTCAAAATGATCATGAAGTGCCTCAAAAAAAAGTAAAAATCTTTGAGTGGCCGGTTTTACCATACTCATTTCTCTCATAGACTGTAGTGTTATAAAAACCGTTAGGAAAACGGTTTTTGACATTTCGATTTCCAATCATAAATATAAATCCAGGTTTTTTTAAGAATCTGAGGCAAAGTTACCCAGTCCCTTAAACAAAAAATAACGAAAGACACACTTACCATAAGGCATGAGAAGCGGATCAAAGCCGACCCTAGCACCATTCTCCAGTCCGGCTCCCCGGAGCTCCCCGGATAAGAGCTCCTGGGAATCTAGGTCATATTCCCGCAGGAGCCACTGCCAGGGGCTCAGATAATCGTTGTCATCTACAGAGTGAGAAAAGGGGAAGGGAAGGGGAGGGGGAGAGAGAGGAGAGAGAGAGAGGTGATAGATTGATAGAGAGAGGAAGAGAGAGAGATATAGATTGATAGAGAGAGAGAGAGAGAGAGAGAGAGAGAGAGAGAGAGAGAGAATGTTAGATGGATAATAAATTACAATCTCTTTGATCCGGAAGCCACATACTGCAGTATCTTTAAAAACATAGTTTTACCATGGACCTACTAGGTCTATGTTTTTTACACACACTCTCTCTCTCTGCCTCCCCCCTCTCTTCCTCTCTCTCTCGTTTTCTCTTACATTCTTTAGGTAAGGTATTATTGAGAGGTTGATTAAAATATAAAATTATCTTGAAATGTATATGCAACAACGGAGATGGCGTATATTATATATAATTATCTTCATTTGTCTTTTTCCCCTTTTTTCCCAACAAAATACATTCGAGACCAAGCCCTATCGAATCAATATTTACCCAAGACGTGTATATCCCAGTTGCAATCGACCTGTTGCTTGGCCAGGAGTTCAAACCGTTTCTCCACCCAGATGGCTGCCCGGGAGTTTGATGATATCACTTGGTCGCTAGTCACGATAGCAACACCTGTTGGGAGAAGAAACAAAATGATATAATGAAATAAAGAATCACATTTTTACACATAAAGTTTCATACAAAATAATGATGGTTTTGGTAATCGAACATTTTTTCAATATCTTATCGATTGTATAGGCTCTATAAACACTTGTAGATTTAAAGGGGCACAACCCACCTTCTCTTTAAAGCCAATCTAGAATTTGACATTAAACAAAAACTATTTCCTTAATGAGTATTTATATTCATTTGTAATCCAATTATTTATTCATCTCATTTTTCTTAATTTTGCTGTTTAGCAATGTATTGTTAAATTCCGTCTTGCAGAAATAATAATAAAAGTAGAGTCTTATGTACATGTAACGTTCATGTCTGGCAACATTGCCACTCCTGGCGCGGCATTATTGTTACCCTTGCTTTAGCATAAAAGTAGAGTCTTATGTACATGTAACGTTCATGTCTGGCAACATTGCCACTCCTGGCGCGGCATTATTGTTACCCTTGCTTTAGCATGGCTGTCATTAAAGCGCTAAATAGAGAATTTTCTGTAGGAATTAACCCGTGCCGGGTTCCCATTTACCTCACCTGGGCGGAGTGTGACAAATGTAAATCTAAAGTAGTGTCAGTTTTGGTAATTAAAATTTGACAATCATAAACAAATGATTAAAAAATGCATAGACTATATACCTCCGGTCCCATTGAAACCAGTCATGTACCAAATTCGCTTGTCAGGATCTGCTAAATATTCACTCTGAAAAAAAATAAACAAAGTCACATAAATATATATTTAAGATAATTATTCTTAATCAATTTCTAGGACTCGAATTTTAAATCCTTCTTAAAGAGAAGGTTGAGTTTTGGGGAGAGGTAAAATATAATGTGTGAGCGTTATCATTGTTATTATGCAAGTGTGGAAGAACATCAAAGCAAAAATGTTCCCTGAAAAGCATGGCTCTTCAATTGCCTTCATATTCTAAATATGACAAGTATCAGCTTAAAAATGAGGCCCGATTTTTGTGACACATGTTTGTGTAGTCCCAAATACATCTTTTATATGACCAGTGCTTGTTACATGTACTTTACCAAGACTGGGCAAAGTTTCTTATCATTTTGATGACCCCAGAACCTTGCAGTACACAACAATACTTATATGCTACATGATCAACTTTTTCTGATCGATTCCACACCGTTTCTTTCACAATGCAATCGCATGACCAGAACTCAACTTTATCTTTAAGACTTAAACAAATTACTTGCATTTTAAATCCTTCTTAATACTAAAATAATAAATTTACAACAATTATTTCTGAAAGATATATTATGGAACAGCTGTTGTTGTTGTTGCAAGAACACTTCCATCTCTTTTTATCTTAAACTGAAAAAATGTGGCATACCCGATGGGAAGTATAATCAGCCGGATAATAATTTACCACTACTTTGCTTTCGATTTGTATTATTCAGATTTTTAATTGAGTAAAAGATCTTTCCGTTTCTTTTATTCCATTAATTGATAAATTATTTCATGGAATGTCGATGATTATTCTATTCATTCATACTTTCACTCACAAATGTTATGCATCTATTAATTCGTTCATTACTTCATTCAGTATTCCATCCACTTTGGTTTCATCGTCTACTCCCGTATTCCTTCATGAGTGTATTTTTACTCAGAGAAAAGGGTAGTCCCAAAGTGAATACTACATTATCTATAATAAAGATTTTCAAATAAATATTTAATAATGTAAACTAATCTTCCCTTTATAAAAATAAATATGAAAATTTGTATGCAAAATATTGATATATTTTCAACTTGATGTTTCAAGGGATCTTTATCATTTCCTGAAACTGAAATATAATTATGCAGTTGACCAAACAATCTACATGTATGCGCAACAAAATAGGTTTATTTTATTGCTTGATATAGATGGAGGCACGTCCAACTTTTCTAAATACTATAATATTTTTTTCATTACACCTTTCTTCGTCAAAAGTATGAATCCATCATTTTGTAGGTTTGCTTATATAATTTTATGCTTTGAGAAAAAATAAATAAAGACTTTATTTGAAGAAGAAAACAAAAGGTTAAAAAGTGCACCAAGTAAGAAACAAAACTTACCCCATGGGCGTCGTATCCGGGTATAATGTAGGCCTGGTAGTCGTAGGGTAGTCGCATCTGACGCCGTAACTCAGCGAGACGCACACTGGACAAGAAGGTCGTGGATGGGTAGTACTATAAGGTCGAAGAAAAAGAAGTTAAAAACATCATAAAACATTACGAAGACATTCAATAATTCGGTGAAAAGAGAACGGGCAACGCGTTTGCCCAGATTAAAAAGGGTGTTTACTAATTTTATTCAACACAGATTTTACAGGTTCGATGAAATACAGGCACCTCAATACCTACGTGATTGTTTGACCCTATACACCCCTGGCAGGAATCTACGAGCCTCCAGTGACCCACTCCGTCTTACATATAACATCACACGGAAACTAGCTGGAGATAGGACTTTTTCTATAACTGCATCTAAGTATTGCAATAGGCTACATTTAACACTCAGACAATCACCATCTGTCTCTTCATTTATTTTTTGTAATCCAGATTTTTAGGATTATGTAAGTTTTCATTTTAATTTTTTGTATGATTCTTCTTGTTGTTAGCGCTTTGGGCGACTCTGGGAAAAGCTCAGTATATAAATAATTATAATAATAATAATAATAATAATAATAATAGATTAATGAAGATTTAATTTGTCTAGCTCTCAACATTAGGAAGAACAAACCTTAGATACTGTTCACTGGTTTACTTTTACTTCTGTTTTTACTTTTGGGGGGAGGGGGGGGGGGGGGTGTGAGTTAACTGACCTCATATCAGTTGCATTTACTCTCTAAAAAAAAAATAGTGATCACTGACACGTGACTCCTCTGTAGAGTGAAAATGTAGCGAAAATGTAGTGAACATTAACTCTTTTCTTCTTAGAGCACTCTAAACTCAATCGATATTCACTCCTAAACAAGTGATCACTGACGGGAGTGAAAATAGAGTGAACGTTCACTATTTTCTTCTTAGAGAGTATGATAACTATGATTTGCTGTTTCATCAGTATATAATTTGACACATATACAATTGCTTTTACTATATATGCGTTTACCACTTCGTCATATTTGTTCGAATTCATTGAGTTACTTTTTTCAAGAATAATTAAATACATAAAGTCTTTCGGTGAAAGAAAACAAAAACAAAATACCATGGCCTAAAATGGAATAAATAGACATACTAATGAAAGGAAATAGAGCTTGGCTAGTTCGACGTTACCGACTCATTTATTGATGGTAGCAATTGCACGAGAAAATGTCTATTTCGTTTTATTTCCTCGTTGAAGCTGCCTTTTTTCCAGCGTTTATAGCTTATACATTTGTAAATGATGAATATATGTTTTTATTCTAAACTTCATTGGTCTACTCTTTTAATTTCCAAGATTTATTTTTAATCTTCATCAAATGAACCGATGTCAAAGAATAGTACATAATTTATTAAAGTGAACAATGCCAATTTGTGCCTGAAAATAGTAACTACAAATATCAATCTGTGTTAACAATTTAGAGTGATTTTTTTTCTCGATTTATTAGCTTTGACTCACAAACTTACTGCAATAGAAATTGACTCAAATTTTACGCGATATTTGTGCTTTCTTCTAATGAACGATATGTAGTACAGAGAATTCTGGGTAAATAAAATTAAAGCTAAAACGTCAATAAAAGGTAACAATGCACTGCTATGGGTATAATAAATCATTTAAGAAACTAACAACGTATAGGCCTGAATTATACGTTCATGTCAATGGTATTGATATTCTTTACTCAACATAAACAACTGACTGACATCTCAGCAAAGACCTCGCAAAAATATTTACTAAAATGAACACAAGAAAAATAGTACTTACCGGTATAACAGGATCACAATCTCTGACATTCAGTCTAGCGGTCTGTCTTTTCTCTCGAATCTCTGCCCCGAGACATCGTGAAGAGCTAAGAAAGAACAAAGAAAATATACCAGGGATAGAAATCAACACCGTGTCTAAAGAATCAAAACTTTGATAATCATCCTTTCATAAAGAATTTGAAAAATGGCAGGCAAAAATGGGGACAACACTTTGTAATGTAATTCATTATTTGTACCGGGTTTTTTACAATCTGCCATTATTTTCAAGGAAGAATATAATATGTTAATTTCTTTCAAATCCCTTTCCTTTATAAAAATGGCCAGTGAAATTGGCGAATGTACTATGAAAATGTTGTCAAATTCAAAATGTACAAATCATAGTAAATTATTAGTACAGCATCATAGAACAGGTCTTAATACCATAGTCTTGTCTTACGAATAAACGAATAGCAAAAAGCAACATAAACACTTCCTTTTATATTAATCCTTATTAATATTCTGGAAAGATTGATAGCCATACACAGCATCTTACAATCGCAAACCTGACCTCAAACCGCACTGACATCATGACATTAATATGCGGGGTCAGGTCAAGTTGACAAGACCTTATTTTGAAATAGAATAGTGCAGGGCTGGCTTCAAATTCACAAGTAACCTACAGCTCCCGTTCCGTACATGTATGTAGCAAAAGCAAAGTTGAGCCAATGAACTGCAGTCATGTCCACATTAGAATCATAAACCGTCATACCATCACCATCATTATCATGATCAAAAGCATCACCATCATCATCATAATATCATCACCACCATCACCATCATCATCATCATCATCACGATCCCCACCACCAAAATCACTATTATCATCATCACCATCATCATCATCACCATCATCACCACCACCACCATCATCACCATCATTATCATGATCAAAACCATCACCATCATCATACCATCACCACCACCATCACCACCATCCCCACCACCAAAATCACTATTATCATCATCATCATCATCATCATCATCACCATCATCACCATCACCACCACCAAAATCACTATTATCATCATCATCATCATCATCACCACCACCACCACCATCATCACCATCACCACCACCAAAATCACTATTATCACCATCATCATCATCATCATCATCATCATCATCACCATCATCACCACCACCACCACCACCACCATCATTATCATGATCAAAACCATCACCATCATCATACCATCACCCCCATCCCCACCACCAAAATCACTATTATCATCATCATCATCACCATCATCATTCACCATCACTATTTAAAACCACCACCATCTTTATTATCATCACACCTATGGTAACCATCTTCTCCATAATTTATAACCACATCACAATCACCATTTTATCACCACTTTTACCCACATTCCTCTCCCATTTTCACATGTCCATCAACATCACAATTATCGGCTTACACCACAGACACCACCACCAACATCACCATCGTTACCACATCAATCATCAGTGCTATGACTTCCATCTAAATCCGTTTTCATCATTCATCAACAACATCCATATATTAATCTTTTGCTTAACAAATAAAATCACACCTCTCTCTTCACTGCATTTACATGTACTACTGAGCATTATTTTACGCGAAGCCAAAATACAGCTTGAGCTTGATGGCATTATATTTCGCATTGTGAAAAACACAGCCATTTGCCCCACGTATAGATGTTATCGTTTATTCTGACTTGCATTCGCTGTACCCTGTATAATACAACGTATGATTCGAAATGAATATAAATGAATTGAATGATGTTCTTTACCAGCTACATCATTGTATATTCCTTCATGCATAGTACCACACACACACCTAGGCACATAATCACCTGCCTATTATATTCACATTATACATGTCGTATAGAGGACATATACATAGGGTGAGTTCTCACTCACACGATCACTCCATCCATGTAAAGATACATTATAAATCTCACCTGTGGCGCAAAGTATGAGCAACGTTAAAATTCCTATATATTCCATGATGATGGTGATGATGGTGAGCTCGGCGGGATCACCTGATCTCTGACATCGACCTCAAAATGGCGAATGCCTTCACTCGCTCTGCTGTGAACAACGATTCGGCTTTCGATGTCTGCAACTCTCAACGCAGACGATGATTTCCTTGGAAACAGCGGTATAAATTCCTCTCCAGGCCAAGTCGCGCTAGCCTGCAAAAGGGAAAGTCCTCTGTGACAACTATATATATATCCACACGCAACACGTCAAGTCGCATATAAATATATCCTCCTGACGAATATACCGTGTAATATGCTCTCAGTAGATGAGACTATAGAAAATAAGAGGTCCGCGGTGAAATACATTCAACGGTTTTCCCGACTATTATTATGCAGATGTCTTGTTGATGACGAAACGCCTTTCATGGCCTTGTTAATGCCTCCCTTTGTGCGTGTGTATCCGTATGGTTGCATGTATAGTAACCATATACTTGAGGCAGTTGAGGGAGTGTGTGTGTGTGTTCACTGAAGCTTTAAATCAGTTTTTTCTAATTCTATTCTTCTTCGTATCAGTCACTGGTTTACCCCATATTTGAACGATTGAATCATTCCTATATATGTCGGTCAATAAATGAAACACAACAATACGCACTGCGAATATAAAGCTGTTGACGAAATACATCTTCTTGTTTTCACTACTTTTCACCGTAACTCGATACACATTTTAAACTACCTTTACTCAATGTAAACAAAATCTGATAACGAAATCACACCATAAAGACAAAATCTACCCTTATCCTTGTAAAGATAGGTGACGTCACAAATTGCATTATTACATTCATAATGTGATTAATAGAACCAGCGATCACTGCTTACAAAATTTAAACTATTCGCGGTAGTGGAGAATGTGATTACATAACATCTTTAGATTTCTATTTCTCGGTATTTAGGAAGTGATTCAGAGAGAGATGATGCTTACGGAGGAAATATCTTGTTCATGAATGATTAAAGTCTGTAACCAGATTGTCGTGTTGATTATGGTTGTACGGTACCTATTCTAGAACAATAATAACATGCAAGGGACCCCTATCGTATAGAATAATAAACCACAAACATCAAAAACACTATATGTAATTCTTTAAACTCTTTCAAACGTAAGTTTGAAAAGTATGTATTGCCAAATATCTTGGATATATGTAAATCTTTTTTTTTAATAGTTTGAATATATTTATTAATTTACAATTCTGTGTGCCAACTTTTTTTCGCAATTGTTTTCTTCTCCTGTACTTATCATGTATATTTTGTTTATATGTGAATGGGATCATGTTTACAAAGTGTATCACGCCTGTTATGATCCCACCACAATTACATAGATATTTCTACTTTGTTTGTACCATGTTATTGTTTTTAGATATTTCATGTCTTGCTTTATACATATTTTTAAAATGGGGAGTTGGAAATATATTCAATTCAATTCAATTACTGAATTACAAGGAAAAACAATATTGACCATAATTTCCCGTTGGGTGTGTTATGAGCAAAATAGTATGTTCGAGATTGAGTGCGAAAAGAACAGGGCTTGATATTTGATTTACTGAAGTTTACACGTCTCATCCGATGATCCGAGTATCCGTCAATATCTATAGGTACAATGAAATCAAATATTTGCTAACAATGACTGATCCAATTCCTCTCTCTCGACCACAAGAAAAGTTCCTAAAGCAAATATACACGCAGAGATGACTTTTCATTTGATTTGTATCAATCCGATGTTTGAAGATATGATTCAATTCTTGAAGTTACATGCAAGGGCGCTGGTAGGGGGTTCATGGGGGACACATGCCTGCCAACGGAGGGGCGAAAGAATGGGGGGGGGGGGGGGGAGAACGGGAGAGAAGATCGAACTCCCGGACTCCCGCCCTTCCTCTCACTCAATAACCCAATAATTTAATCAACCTATATTCAAACCTGCCGCTGCCACCGCCCCCCCCCCGATACCTGTACCCCCTCGAACGCTGGATCCCAGGTACGCCACTCATGATGACACATATCAGAAAATAATCATTAGCAGTGGTCAAAACAAAGTACTGTTGTCTTGCCCAATAATCAAACGATAATACCATTTTCTGCTATGAATATCGGAAACACATTATTGAAAATGTGTGTGTCTTCTGTTAACTCGATAGTTCTACAAATATTAATATCTTGAGTAGTCAATTTTTGTAAAAGTATATTATAAATGTAAATTACCGACTTTATGTTTGTTAATTTGTTGCAAATGAAAATCAATAATTTCTCTGTGGAGGGAAAAGTATGAAAACAAATTAAAAAGACACCGAGACGTTCACGGTGGTCGCCTCTGATGGTCGCCAGTGTTGATGTGCATGTCATGAGCAGTCATGATTCCATAAAGTTGAATTACAAAAAAAAAAAAAAAAATGAGGAGAGTTTGGCCAACCCGGTTCGAGTGGGTTATGATTATGGGGAATATACTGTTTTGTTGAGCAAGCACAAAACAAAAGAATATACGACATGTTGTGAACAACTGAAACAAAAACAAAACAAAAAGTTGGCCAGACTCTCCTAATCAATGGATCTGTCGTTGTTTGTGTCGGAGAGGGCGAGGCAGGGCAGAACTTGTGTATGGATTAATTACCTATGACGAAACAAAGGTGAGAGAGAGAGAGAGAGAGAGAGAGAGAGAGAGAGAGAGAGAGAGAGAGAGAGGGGGAGGGGAAAAGAGGGGGAGAGATGGGGGAGAGAGATGGTTGAGTGGGGGAGGCTCGTTGTGGTGGTGGTGGTGTGTGTGTAGGGGGGGGGGGGAGATAAAGAGACATACAGACAGACAGACAGACAGAGATGGGATGGATGACAGAGACAGAGGCAGCGGGGGGGGGGGGGGGGGGGGGCGAGATGGGGAATTAGGGGAACATTTGTAATGGTAGTGGTGGTGATGTGAGTGGGGGAAGGGAGGGGTACGTGGACTCATTCATCCTCTAACCAACTACATTACTTTCAGACCCTGCATTGTGCCAATTAAGTGCCACAGCTTTGTGTATTCCTACATGCGACATTGATAATAAGTGGTGCAGATAGGGTAGGATGGACATGGGCCAATGGCGGGGGGGGGGGGGGGGGTCATGGGATGTACACATTTTAAAAAACCAATAAACTTAGTAAATCTGAATGTATACAAGGTGCGTAGCTCTTCCCAGTCCAGAATATTGCCGATTTAATCTCCATCGTGATCTCCCCCTGCAAGCCGTAGATGGCGTGATCCCCGAATCGCTACGACCAACGAAAAAATAAATAGATGGGTATACCACTGATGCGTAAGGATTCGTGGATCGCGTCATATCTTGGGCTTGCAGCAGATCTGATGTAATTATAAGGGGGGGGGGGGGAGATCGTGATCGCGAAATAAAATAACACCGTCCAGATTCTTGACTGAGCTGGCTCTGGTTTGCCCGTCCTGGTTGAGCTGTCCAGGTACTGTTCAGAGATCATGTTGACCTTCCGCCTCGGAAATAACAAACACGAACAGATTTTTTTCTACTGAAGTACACGGCCGTGTAAATGTTATCTGTTTGCTTTAAATTCATAACGATATTGACATGGCACTCACGTGAATGTTATGTTCAGCATATATAATATAGTCTGCACGAAACAGTTGCGCCTTCACATGTTCCCGGCTTGCCAACGAGTGCAGTGCCAGACATATCCCAACATTGGTTGATATACTTACTTTATTGAATTTAGGATGGACCTCTCTGGTAAGTAGTGAATATACATGTACAGTTTTTGTATACATAATATTTGCAATATTTTTTCATTTTGATTACAAATTAGAGCTACAGGTATACATATCTAATCCCTGCATGCGTTTGATCTAAATCTTGAAAATACCAATGTTCGGACACCCGCTACCATACTTTGGGGGGTAATGAAGTGGCCTGTTCTAAGTTTTTATATTCTCTTTAGAATATGATAGCGAAGCCTCTCAGGAAATGAGGGGGGACCCTGGACAGCTGTCAACGTAGCTTTTTGGGTGCAACAAATTCAAGATTCAAGAGGCAATCATTATCATTTGCCTTGATGATCACAATGCTAAAAGGGACAATGACATATTGTGATACTCTAAAGCCCATCGAACACTGTTGCGATCGACAACGATCCGATTTTGAAGAATAATTTGTAATCATGAGCATTTTATATACACAATCAAACATGCAAAATATTAATGGCCGGGGATTTGAGGATTTAGTCATATATTTAATGAAATAAAAAATCAGTGGGATTTCGTGCTTCCTCGGAGGAGCAAAAGCTAATCGACATGTATTTAGTTGTTTTTTGTTTACGGACTTTAGATTTTGTTCGCTATTTGTTTCTCTTAATATTATTGTTTGTTAATTGTGTATTTTTTAAATGTCTGAACATGTATGTATACTTGTTGTTTTTATGAACCACATGTGGAAAAATAAAACTTGAACTTGAACTTGAACTTGAACTTGAACTTGAACTAAGTCGGTTCAGAATCGTAGTGACATCGCACCAGTCGTGCGATTGTCTACGATCTGAAGCCGATTTGGCATTTATTCTGTCTAGAAAAGTTAAATCCACGAAAAATTCCGTTCTCTTTAGTATTATTAGCATTATTTCGAGGGAAGATGTTTGTTTAGATTTCCGTATCTAGTATAATTGTAATGTCTTCGAAAGAAGGATCGCAGGACAGGAGGAGGGTACAGTGTGCGCCCGTGCGCTGGGCTTAACGCTATTTTTAAACGCAATAAGAAATTGAAATTAATGTTAAGTTGGTTTCTGCAAAGTTTTTACGGTTTTACGTTTTGTGTTCTAGTATATTTTTCATTTTGAGAATGCTCGCAAATGTAGAAAAATGAAAAGTTGAAATTGCGGCAAGCCCGTTTATGCCTATTTATCATTAAAATAATTATATGTTTGATGTTGAAAAAAGCGTTCAGTCCTTGCTCTGTCTCTTTTTTTTTTTTTTTTTTTTTTTTTTTTTGGGGGGGGGGGGGGGGGGTGGCGTCTTAATCTGACGTCTTAATGCTGGGTTTATATTACTTCTTTGGTAATATGACTTTTGACACTTTATACAGCCATTCTCAATATTTTTATAGAAGCAGTGGATGCCATCCACTTCATAAAATGTTTATAACTATACTATTCCTCTTTTCTTATATACCAAATAAGAACAACTTGAACTTGAGTGTAGATTGGACTTTCACAAAACAATGAATTTAACATAGGGTCATATCCTGAGGGCCTTTACGGTTACATGTCTAATGATTGGATGCCCCCCCCCTCCCCCTCAGCAGCTCTTGATATATAACAGAGTGTTTCAACAGAGGGAGAGGGGCAGACCCCAGCCCGCGCAGAGTGTCGAGAGGGGACATTATGAATTCTCTCTCCTGGATGGGACCAGAATCCACCCCGCGGCTGTCGGGAGGGCAAGATATGAATTTTGGGGTCCATTTACCAATCCCTGAATAAGCAGCTCGTATTTTCTGTTGTTCTTTTCCATTAATTACAGACGTAACATACGACTACAACGACCAGTTCAAAGTGACATCTGACGTCAAATCGGCCTTTGACCGCCATGGGCTGATTATATTAAGGTATACATTAAAATTGCTGACCTATATGTGCTTGTTTCGTATTACGAGCATTGTTCATACACCATCAGTGTTGTTTGTTTAAAGAATACATATCTGGTAATTGTTGAGATTAAATGGCAAATTATTTTGCTTGATATAGTCTCATAAAGAAGCAGGAAAGGTCATCATTTGTATTCTGTAGACAAACAATATTGCTGGTGTGAAAACAATAGTGTTTGTCTACTCTAGATGGAGTGCAAAGGAAAATGATACGTGAGATGTGATTAGGCAGTTGAAGTTCATGGGTCACATTACACGTAACGAAGGCCTAGAGAATCTTGCTTTGACAGGGAAAATTGTGGGAAGAAGGAGTAGGGGAAGAAGGAGGATACTTTGGATGGACAGTCTACATAAATTGTTGGAAGAGAGAGGAGTGAAAGAACTGGGAGTGGTACTAATACAGAAGGCTAGGAACCGAGGGTTGTGGAACAGCCAAAGTCAATCGATATGGCACTTAGAGAGAGAGAGAGAGAGATATAATATAACATTGACATATCCCCCCTCCCACTTGTTGAGAATAAATTACAAGTTCTAAGTTTTTTTTTCTTCATGATCTAAATAAAGAAGGAGGAAAACATTAAAGAAGTTAGATAACGAATCAACGTCTTATTTAAAAAATTACAATTCCTCCTTCGACGCAAATCGTTATGTATTTGATAGCGGGAAGTATTTGTATTTATTAACATATATTTCCTCCTCAACAGTACAATATGAAACACAATGTATATATACATGATATATGTAACAATTATTTCAACATAGGGTGTGTGTGTGTGTGTAGAGGGGGGGGGGGGTTGAGGGTAAAAGTCCCCAAGCAAAAATATTGGTGTGCGGAGGATTCCGCCTGCGCCCCCCCCCCACTCCTGTCTACAATTTCTGGATACCCCCACTAACATTTTGAACACTAAATTCTATCTCATCCTACTAGTAAAGGTATCATGGTCTAGGGGATACGTCACCGGACTGTGGATCACATGGTTTGTGGTTCAAGCCCCGCCACGGCACTAATGTCAGTAAAGACATGATTCATTCATTCGTGTCAATTTACATTTGCTCTCTCCACCCAGGTGCTAAATGGGTACCCGGTAGGATGCAAACGTTGATGTGGTTTGATTGGCACTTGCGTGCTTGTAAATGGTGCCTGGTCAGAATACTCCCAGGGAGTGAAACCTGTGCATTACCCCCCCCCCCCCCCCCCCGGGGTGATGATAATTATGATGTAAAGCGCTCTCATAGAAACATAATTAGCGTTTCACAAATATGAATAACTTTATTTTCATTATTATTATTAATATATTATTATTATTATTACTATTACAAGGAATGCCTTGAGTCCAGATGAAGTCCGTACGACGAACAACTTTCTGGAGAACGACCAGGAGCGACTGAGCGAAGCTTACGGCCGGACCGACGATGAGGGTCGAAGGGGCATGATGACCTTGTGGAATGACCCCAAGGATGACATCACAGGTCTCATCAGCAGGTCAGAGAAGATCGCTGGTACTATGGAAGCGGTGAGATTGAGGTTATTGACCCAAGGGCGTTGCAAAAACATTTTGAATCGGGGGGGGGGGGGGGGAGGTGACCAGGCGCGATAGCTCAGTCGGTAGAGCAGTGGTCTCGTAATCCGGTGACCCGGGTTAAACCAAGTCGATGCGCTAGTGCCCTTTGGTAAGGCATTTATCCTCATTACCAGGTCCCTCGGAGAGGACCTAAAGCCGTCGGCCGTCTGGTTGCTAACTTACAAGCACTTATGCTTTCTTAGCAGTCAGGTAAAATAACGACCGCCAATTATGCCGACAATTTTCCAACATTTCCATTTATTCATTAATTTATTTTTGCCTGTTGGAAATGATGGTAATTTATTTGTTGATGTTAAGTCAAATAAGGTATTTATAGTAGCAGCTGCTTCAAGAGTTGATATATTTTGTTTAAATGCCCATATAGATAGTCGAGCCTTGGAATAAGCTGACAGATTTTCAAGGGGTTGGGGTGCCCCAAGTTTAGAGGCTATATAGACTATCTTTGATATGATTTACTCTAATGTGATGCGAGATTTATAAAATCATATCACCATTATAATATTCATAAACAGTATATATTTTCATCAAATGAACTCAACATAATTGTGTCAATTGTATTGTGTTCCATTGGGTCAAAAAGTGCAAACACTACAAATCATCATTCAGTATGCTATTCATATTGTATGACTAAGTTTTGCACTTACTTATTTTACCTCCGTTTACTATCCAAACATGCCTTTCAATCTAAGTTTAAATAAACCTTTATAAATATAGCTTCATCCTTCCAATTTTTTTCATCGTTGGTAATATTTTCTACGTTTCTTTATCTACTTGTTTACTCTTTGTAATGTGCTTATGATTTTCATTTCGTTTTGTGCTTTGTTTGTATTCTATAAGTATGTGCTGTTCATTACTATGATTGTAGGGGAAAACGCTGTGCTTTTTCAAGCTATGGCATAACAATTTGACTGTTTATCATATCTATGTATTTTACGTAATTGATATCTTGAATTGAATTGAAATTACGATATTTATATCACATTATACGCTACCCCTACAGCTTCTTGGCGGGGAAGTGTATCACTACCATGGCAAACTCATGCTGAAGGAGGCGAGGACTGGTGGAAAACACGTCTGGCACCAAGACTACGGGTAAGAGCATTGACATAATTATCTGAGATGGGGGCTCGGGCGCGTTCGAAAAAAAGAAAAACGGGGGGGGGGGGGGGGTAGGAAATGAGAAAAAAGGAGTATTGTGGAAAAAGAATGTGAAAATAAATTGATAGGGCTCCCTCCCACATCCTGTTCAAACCAGTGCCTTGTTAAAGGAGCTACACAAAGAAAATTCACTAACAACTCATAATTAGAACAAATTACATATGGATGGAAAGATTTTCTCTTGAAAAACACGAACAATTTGCTGAGAAATCATATAGATATCATGGAAAGGCGTAAAATGCAATTTTTCAAGACCCTCCTTAGACCCCCGAACGCCCTGAACGTAAGTCAAATACACAAGCGTAGCGAGCTCTAAATAGTGACGTCACACACTGGACGAACAGCTCAGTATCGTGTAGCAGTATGCAGCTAGCCAGCCGCATACTGTTTTTGTGACACATGTGACGTCACAAATACTGACGCTCTACAAAGGACCGCTGAAGGCAGAAAATCTGGATCTCAAAACTAACATATTTGAGAGTTGATAACTGCGGGCCCCAAACATATTTTGAAGAGAAGAGTGGTTGTATTTGATCGGCAAGGCTTCCCTTTCGCAATGATATGAGTTTTGCATCAATTCAAAACACTTTTGATTCTTCGTGTGGCTACTTTAATAACGTTGCATCCACCAAATAAGACCGAAGCCCCGTCCCTCCCCATGATTCCGGTGCACCATCAAAGGTTGCGCTCTAGGGGTGTTTCACAAAGATTCTAAGTCAAACTTAACTCTAATTTGGACTTAAAAATTATGGTGAGCCTCTTGTAGCCTTTAAGATGAAATATATACAAGAGCGAAAAATTAAGTGTTTAAGATTTTTTAAATAAATTCCATATCAAGAACATGAATTCTCGTTGATAATAGACAATATGAATGATTTGGATCAACATTATATGCCTTTTAAAATAACGTTAACAAACGGCTTTCCATAATTATTAAGTCCAACTTAGAGATAAGTTCAACTTAGGATCTTTGTGTCACACCCCCAGGTAATGCTCCTGACTAAGAGCGTTTCTTGTCTTTTCACGTGACGAGAATATTGTGAAGGCCCTTTTGCTTTCCATGTATATGACTAGTATCTTGTTGATTGAAAGATGCATATGAGTGTGTGGATTTTTTTTTTGGGGGGGGGGGGGAGGGGGGGATGCCTTACTAATATGGCGTTGCATGCCATTGATTTACACGACTGTGTGTATATGACTTTCACTTTAAATACAAATGTGTAATTTGCACAATATTTTGTCAAAGATGATGCGAAAACAAAAGATCCATGGTTTAAAAAATATACTAAGTATAACATAATTTATGTGTATTATTTTTCATCCTACCAGCTATTGGTACCGGAACGGCTGTCTGAACCCCGACATGGGATCTGTATTTATAGCTATCGATAAATGCGAGAAAGCCAATGGATGTTTGGAGGTAAGAAAAGAGATTTACAAGTTTGAGGAGGTTCTTGCATGGCCCCCCACTGACCTTTTTAAATTAAAGATAGTGGTGAGGATAGAAAAGAGTATGAAAATAAATACATTTTGAGGGTAATAGCAACGCCCCAATTTTGTGGGAAAAAAAAAATCGTGAGGGAAATGTAGGCCTACTACCACCCCAGTGGATCTAGCTTTTTTGCCAAGGGGGGGGGGGGGGGGGGGGGTGGTTGACCAAGTGGCGGATCCAGGATTTTCCAAAAATCGCGCTGTTATTGTTTACTTTTTCTTTTTCTTTTCACTTGGCCGCCGAACCCCCTAGGTCCGCCCCTGCGCCCTATGTTTCGTTAAAAAGCAATATATCGAACGAACATGGACTCAAACAAAACAAACACAAATACAACATTTCTTAATTACCAATTTGCCCCTTATTTGCCAAGAATGAAAGTACAAAATGGGCGAAGGCTTGAATAAGAGAATTTTGAGGAATCTGCTTTATGTTTACCTTGGTCACTTATGATTACATGCAGCATGACTATTAGCCAGAATCTTTCATTTTCACTTTTTTCTGATTTTAAAAAAAAAACATAATTCCATTGATACCAGGTGATCCCCGGCTCGCATCACATCGGCCGAGTCGACCACAGCTTCGTCGGCGAGCAGACCGGCGCCGACATGGAGCGCGTCGAGTGGGCCAGGAAGAAGCTCGGCCACGTGTTCGTCGAGATCGAGCCTGGCGACGCCATCTTCTTCCACTCCAACGTCCTCCACGCCAGCGGGCGGAACGACAGCGACAACCGTCGATGGGTCCTCATCGTCGCCTACAACCGTGCCGACAACGATCCCGTGTACGAGCACTGCCACCATGCTCACTACACACCGCTCAACAAGGTGATGAAAAAAGACGATGCGATGTCCAAGATCGTTGAAGTGTGTGTGACCGCCCCCCCCCCCCCATTCAATAATTATTTGTTGTCGGTATATATTGAATTTGTCATCAGTCTCGTGGGCAAATAGTAAAATTTCAACCATCTTTTCTATCATCATTTTTGGTGGGGCGGGGGGCTTGCTTTCATGGTTATTGGTAATTTGTTTTAAAATCTTATGTCCGTGTCTTACTCTTGTCTGTAAATCTGAAAATTGAAAACCTGGACTTTCTAATGTTATAGAATGGCTAACGATTCTTCAACCTCTTTTTCATATAAATTATACATGTGTGTGTATATATATATATAATAATAATAATAATAATAATAATGTCAATTTATATAGCGCACATATCCATTCTAAAAGACTGCTCAAGGCGCTCTGTACAACATCAAAAATAATTATACAATATTAAAACTACGACATAATTATACACTATACAAACTACGACATAATTTTACAATATTAAAACTACGACATAAACAAATGGTGCTTAAGTTTCTTCTATAATGTTTCGACTGATGATGATTGTCTTATTTCTAGTGGTAAAGTGTTCCATAGTTTGGGTGCAACGTTAGCAAAAGCCCTGTCCCCCCATTTGTTATTGGTTTTGGGTGTACATATAACTGGAGCTGTGAACCTGAACGTAAATTCCGTTGTGGGGGTACGGTTTCAAAATCTGATACAAGTAATGGGGTGAAGAATGAAGAAGTGTTTTGTAAGTAATGAGTAACAGCTTATACATAATTTCTTTTTGAGACTGATAGCCAATGAAGAGATTTTAATATATCTGAAATACTGTCTGATCTATTGCGGAGAGGACGAGCCGAGCTGCCATGTTCTGAAATCGTTGCAGACGGGCTATTTGATTTTGAGGAAGGCCAATATACAGTGAATTACACATATCCAAACGACATGTAATAAAAGAATGAACAATCTGCTCGTGGCTTTCTGATTCAGATATTTTCTGATCCTCCAAATATTGTGAATATGGAATGATGCTGAACTAACAACATTTGAAATCTGAGATTTCATGGTCATTCCAGCATCAAACAAAACTCAAGATTACGAACCTGATTAACACATTTTATTTCTGAGTTGCCAATCATGATCTTTTGTGCAGAAAATTTACTCAACTGCCTGGCAGATCCAATCAACATGTACTCAGTTTTGTCTTCATTTAACCTCAGAAAAGTTATCATTCATCCACTGACTAACCGACCTAAGGCATGACTCAAGAGTTTTTATACCAATATCAACATTACATTGGGATGGTTTTAACCGTAAGTACAATTGAGTGTCATCTGCGTAAAAATGGTACTGTACATTGTGCTCCATTATCACATTACGCAGAGGACTCGTATACACTGTAAATAAGACTGGCCCCAAAACAGATCCTTGGGGAACAGAATAATCTTGGTACACAGGGTTAGAGATTGAGCTACCAATACGGACATACTGAGGGCGATATAATAAATATGATTTAAACCATTTCAAAGCTTGTCCATCAATTCCCAGATGACTCTTGAGACGTGAAAGGAGGAGTTTATGATTTACTGTGTCGAAAGCCGCGCTGAGATCTAGGAGCACTAGAGCTGATACTTCACCATTATCGAATGCACACATAATATCGTTGTGAACACGCAAAAGTGCTGTCTCTACGCCATGGTTTGGCTTGTATGCAGACTGGAATGCATCGCTGAGATCATGTTCACTGGCATGTTTATGAATCCTTGCACAGACAACCCGTTCAAGTGTTTTACCAAGAAATTTCAGATTAGATATTGGTCTGTAATTTCGGAGAACTTCCTCATCCAGTCCTGCTTTTTCAGCAGAGGTCGAATGTAGGCGATTTGAGGCTATCTGGAAATATGGCTTCAGCAAAAGATTTGTTCACCAGAGAAGTAATAAAAGGAGGAAAACACATTGACACATCGTTTGATCAGAGACATCGGGACTGGATCTAGTTCACAGGACTTGCTGGGAGCCTTCATAATGACCGCTTCAATTTCTTTCTTTGTTACTGGGCAGAATGTATCCAAAGTCGGAATCTTTGTAGCTGCTGTTGAGGATAGCTGTATATCCTCCATCTTGGATTCGGCACCATGCAGTGTAAACACAGAGCGAATATCAGCAATTTTGTTTGAGAAGTATTCAGAGAAAGTGTTGACTAAGGTCTCATCAGATTCAGCTGTAGGCATTACACGTTTACTTGTAGTGTTGAGAAGCCCTTTCACTATACTGAATAACTTCTTCTGATCACCATGACTTTCATCAATTTTTGTTGAATAATGTTCGGTAATTGCATGGTTGATCAATTTATGAACAGTATCTTTTTGCAGATTAAAACTGTCCCTATTAGACGTGGTCTTGGCTTTGCGCCAATGGCGTTCACATCTTCTACAGGCCTGTCTAGCTAAACGGATATCCTCGGTAAACCAAGGGCTTGACGGCCTCGATCGAACAGTCCTGGTGCTGATCGGTGCGTGCCTGTCTAGAACACCAGTGAGCTGTTCCTCATAATATCTCACAGCACAGTCTACTGAATTAAGTTCAGTGTCGATCCCTGAAAGTGACATACACACATCATCTGAAAATTGATTAATGTCCACTTGTTTCAAATTTCGAGTTTTCAGCGTAGTTGAGAGAAGAGGTATCTTGGTAAGGTTAATCGTAGCCATGATTCCATAATGATCAGAAAGTCCTGGATGAAAATTAACCTCCGAAATCAGGTCTGAAGAGCTTCGAGTAAGCAGGAGATCGAGGCAGTGGCCGCGTATATGGGTAGGCCCATTAACATATTGGACAAGGCTATGTGACTGCAGTAAGGACTTAAAGCGATTTGCATTACAATCAGCAGGATTGTCTACATGGATGTTGAAATCACCACATATCAAAATGTCAGACGGATGAAATAAATAGTCCTCAATCATGTTTTCAAATTCTTTTAAGAACTGATCAAAAGCGACAATGTTCCCATGTTTATCACGACCAGAGCGATAAACGTTTATGACCCGGGCTGATTTTGAATTACATGTTACTTCTAGGTGAATAGACTCAAAAGTGTCAAATTTCAAATGATCACTCTTTTGACGCACAGGTATGTTTGATCTGTGAAGAAATCCAACCCCGCCTCCAACTTTGTTCTGTCTAGGTACATGAAGAAATGAGTAGCCCATGGGAGTGAGTTCAGCAATCACTGCGCTGTCATATGGACGCAACCACGTTTCTGAAACGGCAACGATATCTAAATTATGCTGCAGTACGAGTTCAGTAAAGTCAATCGATTTGTTCCGTATCGACTGAGTATTTATTGAACAGAAATTCAACTTCGATTCATCATTGCATGGCAGAGATCTCAGATTGGCATGGCAAGTACCAACTGTTCTACAATAACCCAAATTAGGTCTATCAAATGTAATTCGGTTTGGGATCTGACGCTGCTTCCTGGCTCCAGCACGCACACCTCTGTGAGTTTTCTTGTATTGAGGAATTTCATATGCATCTATCCCCAACTCCCTTATGCAGCCGAGCACGTGCTCTGTAATTGGAAAATTACGATTTATGTCTGTGGAAGAGCGAACTTCAAGAAGTTCATGTCTGTTATAATGAACATTGCCTGGGGATGTGCCTGAGACTTGAGGGTGATGGCTACCCCTTGGGCCAGGGTTAGATGCCACATCTCCACAGCTAAGAAGTTCAACATTGAATGTTGCAGTAGAATTGCTATAGTAGCATGTATATGCTTTGCAGAACCCTTTGTGATGTAATCTTGTTCCATTTGTGACATGAGAAAGACAATCCTGTATGAAAGGACCATGAACACTCACAAACAGTTGACTTTGCATTCCCAGGAGGATTGAAAGAACAGTCGCTATACAGACCATCATTCTCTCTCTTTTAAATGATGCCATTGTTGCACTCTCAACAAAGCTTTCCTATTGTTGGACATTCAGCATTGATGAACACTTTGAATAGAAGAGCTCCACATGAAGAGGGCACACAGCAATGTTATGGCTGAAATATGTACTGCTGGTCACCCAAAGTTGAAAAAATGTCTGCAAAGTTCTCTCAATGCGTGCCTACTCCAAAGTGAATCCAAATATACCAAACTGATCCTTGGCATATCAATTCAAAGTAGTATGAATTATAACACTAATATTGCCACCAGTACCACACAAAAAGTGAAACTTTAGGAGAGCAAAAAAAATATATATATATATATATATATATATATATATATATATATATATAGAGAGAGAGAGAGAGAGAGAGAGAGAGAGAGAGAGAGAGAGAGAGATTCAAAATATTACGAGAACAAGTATTCACTGCATCTCTCACATCCGTCATTTTACCTCGTACACTGTTTCCATTCCTCTTTTGCTTTCCATCTCCATTATAAATATTTTCAATTCAATTCAATTCAATTCAATTCAATTCAATTTATTTTGCCAAGCAATAAAAACATACAAACAAAAGCAGTATACAAAGTTTCACACATTTACAATTACTAACATAGATAAACACAGAAAGACACAGAATCAATTTACAAACATGGATTATAAAGGGAAATTGCTAAGACTGGTAGCAGCCAGAAAGGGCGTGGTTCTTATACGGCTGACCAAATAATCAAATATAAAAAGTCTTATGATTTAATTTAAGCTATAATAACAAGTAAAGCAAATAACAATTAAACGTAAAATACAATGAATTTAACAATCTTTAGCTAATATCAATATAGGTCCATCAAATATATTTTGTATTTGTGTTTAAAAGTTTTAACAAATTTCAATACACGTATTTCACGAGGTATAGTACTGCAAGGTCCATTATTATATTACTGTACGTTTATATGAAGTTGTATGTACAAGTGGCGGTGAAAATTATCAGCATTTCTAGTACTATAGTGGTGTGTATTACAATTAAGTATACAAGGTTTTAAAAGTGATTTGGGAAGGATTTGTAAATAGCACTGGTACATAAATATTGCACATTAATAATTATACATATTAATAAAATTCAATATTTTTATTTTTTTTTAAAGTGGATGGGCAAATAAAAAGACTAATAGTACGAATTGCACGTTTTTGCAATAAAATTACTTTCTTTATATGGGTTCCATGTGCATTCCCCCATGCAATTATTTCACAATAAAAAATGGTAATATTAAATCGTTGTATATCATCTTCAATATACATTTAGGAAATAATTTTAATTTATACATAACACCAATATTTTTCGATAATACATTACAAACAGCATTTACATGATCCATTTCAACTTATTATCAATGGTTATGCCAAGAGATTTAAGTGAAGAGACATGTTTAATTTCTGTATTACACAAACGAATAATAATAGAATCAGTGTCACATTTAGTATTTAATACAGTAAAAATCATATAATGCGTCTTACTTATAATAATTGACAATTTATTTATAGAAAACCGTGTTTATTAACTTAATTTCTCGATTAAATATATCTTGAAGTGATTGAATATTTTGATGGGATAAAAAAATGCTTTCATCCTATTCTGTTAATAACAGAATTAAAAGAATTAATTGTTATTTTGTTCTTTTATATTTTTACTTTATATTGTTATGTTTTCATATGTTATGTACCGTTTGTAATCACTATTACATTTTGATACTGATGTTTCTTGTGTGAGCTATCTATTCAGTCAATCTCATCTCTTGTGATCTGCAATGTTTACGTTTTCGTATGCGCTTTTTTGATCTACTTTATGAAAGGGCGCTCTAAAATGTTTTGCATTGTTGTCATTTTCTCTTATCCAGATACCAAGCACTGAAATACTGTCATCTGTCAACGGCGTGAAGGGATAATCATATGGCGCTCGTTCTTGTTCTTGAACTAAAATAATGACCGGAAGGTTAGCTTAGAGAGGTTCTAGGACAATTACCCCCTGGGCAATCACCCCCGGAAAATTACCTCCGTAAAACTACCTCGACGGACAATTACCCCCGGAGAATTACCCCCCCCCCGAGGCAGGGCCCGGCAGTGCCTCGTCGTGTTAATCTAAAAGTCCCTAATGACTCATTTTTTTCACTACATAATGTCCGTCTAATGACTCTGTAAGGTATACATCATAGACCCTATAAATACTTTACTACACAAACTGCACTTTTATGCTGTAAAAATATATCTTTGACTTTTCATCATTTCATGTAGCACAAACTATTAGTATACACTGAATGGAGTTTGAACAGAGTCTCTAGGCAATAAAAATGAGATTCTATCAAATGCAAAAGAACAAACCGCCACTAATTCTAATCTCTAATATGATTATTTTTAAATTGCCCTGAATGTGAAGATCTAAAGTGCTCCGTCATTAATAAACATCATAAATTAACGTCTCTGTAACAATCTTTTCAGTGCTGTTCATGTGAAAATTAGTGCATGGAACGACAAAAACAAACACAAAATCGGACATTCCTAAAGCTCCGATAGACCTTTACAAAAAATGACCCGTGGGGGGGGGGGGTGTGGTATTCCCTTGCCCCATCTAGGTGTTCAGATGCAATCAGTGGAGCAACCAGGTAGTATGAAAAATTGAAAGAAAAAAAACATCCAATATTTATTTCCCCACTTCTTTCTCGCATATGAACCTATATTGATTCCAGCAAATCCCATACCGATAACCACGACAAAATTGCCCCTCCGAAACAGGTTTCCGCATTAAATAACAGAATCCATCCTCTCGAAGCGGATCCCAGTTCGAGGAGTTATCCAGTGATCCGGTCAGGCCGATCCAGTGTTCCTCAATGGCATACCCTAAGTTCCCAACGATGAAGTCCCATTCCTCTTCCGACTGGATGAAGACCAGATGGGATCCGCATTGAGAACAAGCTGAAAATGCAGAAGAGTGATTCATCTGGCGAGTGCTGAAATGGTAGAACGACCCATCGTGTTCATATTGGAATGCTGATGAAGAGATGAAAACAATATGTTAATTACTCGATTCTAAGAAAGTAGACAAATCGATTATTTGGGTAAAACTGATATATTCAAAGGAAAAATGATAATGACGATGATGACAACAATTTTCAAAAATGCAAAGATATTTGAACAAATTTACAGCTTTGATACTCAATGTGTAGATAAACTCTGCTTACCATTGTTCATAATATGAACAAAAGAGAGGGGAGGGGAGGGAAGGAGAGAGAGAGAGAGGGAGAGAGAGAGAGAGAGAGAGAGAGAGAGGGGGAGAAAGAGAGAGAAGAGGAGAGTCGTAGTGGCGAGACCTATTAAGATGAGGATCAATTGCATGACGTCTTTGCATTGTTTCCAAAGTTTCTTCATGCTCTTTGTTCATTAATTTGCCACCCACCCCCCTCGATACGCCTATGATATTACACCTACATAATTTATCGCAGTGTATTCCTTGAAACCCACTTGAGCAGTGACAGTGTGTGTGTGTGTATTGGGTTTTTACAGACGTGTATCAATCAGATATGATTATTTACGTCTGGGACCGACCTTTAAACGTCACCATCCGAAAGACGTGACTCAGTTTCGAACCTGCGTCCTCGGCTGAATCAGTTTGTAACTTCCACTTTTTAGCTGGATTACAGGCGCACGCCTTCCAAAGTCTCCTCACACCAGCCGTTTTTACAGAGACTTTTGCCACAATCTGCAAAATAAGTAATAAACGGGATAAAACTCAATACTGATAAAAAAAATTAAAGTTACATTCTGTTCTGCTTAGTGTGCAAAAGTATATTTTCGAAATTTGGATAAATTAACGTATGAAATATAAGCAAGACTAATGATAATGCCTTTTTAGCAGGCCATGAAAACCATACTCTCGGGAATTGGGCTCCAGTTGGGCTCCTTACCCCCCCCCCCCCCCCAATCGCCTTTTCACCGGCTGGCTGTTTCACCGCTTATTATTTTCTCACGGGTTGGGCAATAAACACCTCCCCTTAATAAAAATCCTGGATACGCCCATGAGCAGTAGTGGTAGTTGTAGTAACAGTAAACATAGACTTGAATTTGTAGTAGTAATAGCAGTTAAAACTTTAGTGGGAGTGGATATTCATGATATCATATAAATATGTTTTATCTGGGGTACAGAGCACAATTTTTTTTTTTTTTTTTTTTTTTGCTCCCGAAAATTTGAAAAAACGCGCCGGCCAAAAATTCGCTCAGTGGGGGGGGGGGGGGGGGGGGGGGGGGGGGGGGGGGGGGGGGGGGGGGGATAGTGAGCACATTTTTTTTTTTTTTGATCCTCAAAAAAATTTCAATTTGTACCCCCCCCCCCAAAAGGTAAAAATCACGTGATTTTACATGATTTTTTCTCAAGGGGGGAGCCCCCCCCCCTTGGATCCGCCACTGACTACGTCCTCCCCTCCTCCTCCTTCCCTACCGTCTTTATTCTCTACCTCTTCTCCTTCCTCTTTATCACGATGGCAATGATAGTTGCCATTTTTATTGCCATTTGATCACTTTTATTTTTATTTCAATGTTGATTGCCTAGACTGTTTTAATAATTATTGTATAATTGCTTTTATCATGTATATACATTGTAAACTGTTGTAACCATTGAAATTCAGTCTTTGAACTGCGAGAATGGATAATATTCAATAAAATCCTTTAATCAATCATTCCCTTTCATCCCCTATTCCTCCTCCTCCTTCTCCTCATTCACCTTCTCTCGCTTCCCTTCCTCCTCCTGTACCTCTTCCTATTCTCCTCCTCTTCCTCCCCGTCCCCCTAATCCTTTTCGTCATTCTCCTTCTCTCATAATCCCCATTTCCTCTTCCTTCCCCTATTTATCCGTGTATCCCTCCTCCTCCTTCTCAACCTCCTTACCTCTCCTCCTCCTCCTTCCCGTTTCCTCCTCCTCCCCTTCCCTTTCTCATCCTTCCCCCTTCTCCTTCCTCTTTCTCCCATTCCTCCTCTTCCTCCTCATACTTCTCATCCCTTCTTTGCCGTCCTCCTACTTCTCTTCGTCATCCCTTCTATTCAACTTCGTTCTTGTCGCTCTCGCTTCCTTCCCTTCTTCCTCTCCAGTATTCCTTAGGAATGAAATTTCCCTTAAAATAGTTTGAAACACTCATTAGGGAGAATTGTCCAAACAGCGAACTATATCTATTTGAGATTTCACTTAGGTTTTATACCTCACTCCTATTTCACTTCATTATGGTAATTTTGAAGGCCAACTTTTTTCAGCAGCATTCGTAAAATCATGAAAATATTTACGCATAAATATATGAAGCCAACTTATTCTTACCTAAGGACAAACAGGCTACGATACCAAACAGCAACATCCACAATACACCGATTTTTGGGTCTTTAGCCTGTATGTAGAAAAAATATTTGCACTGCATAAACAAATAGAATAAGAACAAGAGCAAGAACAAGAACATAATAACAACAACAGAAAAATTAATGATAAATTATGGCTAATGATGCTAACGGTATTATTGAAAATGGTGATAATTACAATTATGATGATGGTGATGTTGATGATGATTATACATGTAGCACAAACCACTAACGTAACATAAACTGTAATTGGTTTGGATATGGATTGAATCATCTAACAAACCACGAAAAATAGTACTAGACGATGTAATATAGAACATTTTCCATGTTCCATATGGAGTTCCTCAAGAGTCACGTCTCGGTCCGCTCCTTTTTACGCTATTACAATTAATATGAACAATATTATTAAAAGGCGTTTCTCAAACGTTTTTTGTCGTTGTTATACCGATTACACACAATTATACATTTCCTTCAGTCCTGACTAGAGTCGCGAAATTAGCCGGGAAAACCTATACTTCGAAGAAAATTACAAAAAAGAATTGTTCTTTTTTAATTTCTTCTCTTCTTCTGTTTAAATTTAAATTGATTACATTCTATTATTTATTATTATCTCAATTCAATTCAATTGTGATGGTGGTTATTTTACCTGACTGCTAAGAAAGCATAAAGTTGTTTTATTCAATTCCATTTTCAATAAAAACAATACAAAGATATATACAATGATAAGCATTTGCAATATATAAGAGAATGAAAATCGGGTACTAAAAATAACGCCAAATGGCCTTGGGGAGGCATAGTTCCCCGAACAGTAGTTAAGAGATTTACATAAAAATTATATAAACAAAACTATGAAAAAGGACATACATGACAAAACATGACAGAGACATCGTTCACGTCAGGTAATACAAATGGAAATGATCATTACAAAATCATAAGTTTGAAAACAGTTATAGGTAATGCTGTATAATATGAATATTGGTACAAGAATCAGTGATATTCTGATATAAGATGCTGCTTCAAATTTCGTTTAAATTATGTTAGAGACTTGCATGAGGATATTTCAGGTGGAATAGAGTTCCAAATAACAGGAAAATTGTTTCTTACAGATTTAAAATATATATTTGTCTTAACTGACCAAAAATTAAAAGAGTCTCGCCCACGAGTATCATAATTATGAACACTATTATTTAAAGTGAACATTCTCGAAATATTTTGCGGTAGTTTATTTTGAAAATAAAAAAATTCAAGCAGGGCAATTGAATGAAAATATAAGTCAAATATATTCAGTGTTTTCAATTTCATGTATCATGTATATGCTTTTATTGAAAAGGACAACATGTAAATTGACAATCACTAACTTCAGACTCATGAGGGCCATTTCACTATGATTGAAACAAAAACATAAAATATTTACCATTTTACAGATCAATCTTCAAGAGCTTCAAAAAATGATCAGACAGCACGATGATAACCAAACGTCTTTCTCGGATAAAATAATCAAATTTAGTTGCTTCAATACCAAAAGGCGGGAAATATTAACACAAGATTCAAACTGTAGACTATAGCTAACGATCAACGGAGATCAATTGAAACCGCAGGAGACTTATGACTTGATATCTGCCTTCGACGAATTGTAAATGGTAAATGGTACGTTTTCCTACTTTGC